GCACGGCCAAAGGCCGGCAAAAGCAGGGCCTGTGCAAAAATGCTCGTCAGGGCCGGCTACCGTTGCTGCAGATGCTTTGCCCTCCGATCTGAGTGCAAATGCCCCGGGGGTTTCGGAAAAAGACGATGCACAGTCATCCACTCACAACAGACCTCTGGAGCCGCAGTCAGACGCATGTCATCACCCGAGCAATGCCCTCCAGATGTTGGCAAAGCTGCCTTGCAGGACCATGATACAGTGATGTGGCTGAGGCGGAAACCTCAGTCTGTAACATTTGATGTCTGTGCCTTCAGGAGGGCTTTGCCGCACATAGTTGCCGGAATCTCTCCCAGTCTTGCGCATGAGGTTTTTCCTCAGCAAACACTGCTCCCCTCAGCCTGCAATACTCCCTGTTCTGACAGCCGCTGTGGCTCCCTCACCACAGGAGGTTCGCTCCTCCTAATGTGCACAGAGAGGAGTCTACCAGTCTCAGATGGCCCAGGCAACCCCGGCGAAGGGCACCAATGGGGCCAACGATTCTTCAGGAGCAGGCTGGCCCACAGACGTCATGCTAAGGGTCGTCTTCGCTGGATGAAAGTATCAATTTCATGGCTAGGTGTAATGCACAGCCTCCTGAACCCTGAAAGCCTCAGGCTCTGGATCAACCTAGCTATCCCAGCGTGTTGGTATACCACTCCATCGGAAGTCAGCCTAGCACCGACCTCAGAAGGGATACCCGCCAATACCTCTGCCAGTGTATATGCACCCCACAACAAGAAGCCAAACAAGAGCCGTCCGGGTCCCAAGTCCCGGAGTGGGTTATTGCTTCCTACCCTGTGTATGCAAAGCATTTCAGCCACCACAGCAATACCCACAGACGCGAGGGTTGCAGGTATAGTCACGAGACCTGCTGGAGCTTGCCATGCAATAGGCACTACAAGCCCCAATCAAGAAGCAACGCATCGTGAAATCAAGTACATATCACAACCAAGTGTTCCCTCTCATCAGATGTATGAGCACCTCACCAGAACTGGAAAACGATCATTTCACAGAGCAGTGCGCCGTGCTGCCCAGCATGGGTCTACCAGGTACCGAGGCCGCACACACACTTTGTGCTCACTTGGAGCCAAGCCTTCAGACCCCCCAGACACGGCACATACCCCTCCGGCTGCCCACACAGGAGGTATAGCCCAATCACACCAGACCAATCGATGTCGTCTCATGACGTGGAATGCCAGTGGCCTCACCACTGCCAAACTGGCAGAGATAGAAGCATGGTTAGAGACCTGCCATGCTAGAGGATCCACAGTCCACATATGCGTCTTGACCGAAACTCATTGGTCATTCACATCGGAGTGGGCTCTTGCCTCATACCATGTAGTCCATTCTGGACTAAGCAACAGGAAGGCCGGAATTATTGCGCTTGTCCACAAACAGTACATGCCAGGCACGGCGATACGATTCTCCGAACCTCTGCCGGGGCGCCTCTTGCAGCTCAGGCTTGAATCGAATCCAGCCACATATGTACTCTGCACATATCAGCATGTCTGGAATGAAGCCAAGGGGTCAGAATCCTGTCTTGCATCCCGGGAAGAATTCTGGACAGCATTAGCCGCTACCATTCGTGGAGTACCATGGAGGGCACAACTTTTGATCACAGGAGATCTAAACACACCAGTCCTTTCTCAGATGCCATGGGTCGGATCCGGGGTCCCAGCACTCAAAGGCTCGCCGAGGCAAACAGATCAACCGAGGCTGCAGCAGCTACTGGCACAATTCAACTTGACTGTACTGAATTCCTGGGGCCGACAAAAACACAGCTTCACTTACCAATTTGAAGCGGGTAGGATTGTTCACAGAACACAGATAGACTATTTCATGAGTCGGTCCAGGGATGTGGACCCATTAGCCAAGGCAGCAAGGACCATAGATGCGCCCTTTGTTCCTAGGAAAGGCATGAGACATCTTCCGCTTATGGTGACCATGCCCCTGCCCAAGCTGCCCTGCAAGGGCTGCAAACGGACCTCTCCTCCGAATGCAAAGGAGGTTAATCAAGCCTTACATCAAGATCCCTCCCTAGCAGAGCGTTTTCAGCAACAGGTGGATGTCCTTGTGCCTCCCATTGCTGCGGGCGACCCAGCTATGATGCTAAATCGAGTGTTGCAACAAGCCTGGCAGCAGGTTCGGCCCCCAGTCGCTCGTCCCGCAAGCACCTCTCAGTCGGAAACACTGGGCCTCATTCGACAACTCTGGAACTTGCGAAGAGCCCGAGCTCAGCATCCGCATACCTACTCCGCACTACGAGGCTGGTTCCAAGCGGCTCGATTACAACGGGTCCAGCGACTCCTGCGCAAGGCTTGCATTGCCAAGAAGCGTGATAGGATAGATGCCCTGCTACTTGAAGCCGAAAAATCCAAGCAACCGTCGGCGCTGTTCAGTGTGGTAAGAAGACTTGCTCCCAAGGTCAGAACTTTGAGGATTCAACTGAGAGATAAGGAAGGTCGCCTATTAGCAGGCCATGAGGAAGCTACACAGATTGCCAACTTCCTTCGCCAGGTCTTTGGCAGCCAGAACATTCGTGAGGCTCCCCACCATCCAACATTTCAGCCTGTCCAATTTGAGGAGCATGACCTATACAGGGCGATAAGACAGCTTGGCAGTACGAAAGCACTTCCCTCCTCCTTTGCACCTGCCCGATTGTGGAAGTTAGCTCCGTCACATGTCGTTCAGTCTCTTTTGCCCATTATCAATCAAGCCTCCCCCACCAGGATGAATGCAAGCTGGCACGAGGTTCAGCTCTATCTCATTCCCAAGACTCAGATTGTCAAAGAGCCTAAGAATCTTAGGCCCATTGCCCTTCTGCATCCAGGTAACAAGCTCTGGGCAGCTATGCTTGCCACTAGATTGAAGGATAAAGTAACCGTGTACCTTCAGGACGTTCCTCAGTGGGCTTATCTTGCTTCCCGATCCACAGCAGATGCACTCATTGCAGTCTGCTCGCACCTACATCAGGTACGTGAGCTGATAGCGGATGCCAACAGGTCCCACCCTCACCGATTCCGCGGGGCTGCTCAGCCCAGCATGATTGGAGGAATATCCATTAGCTTGGATGTCAAGAAAGCTTTTGACAGCCTGAGACACGATTTCCTTGCAGAGGCAATGAGGGAAGCAGAGTTTACTGAGTCCGAAATCAAGTCGGTTCTGTTCCTGCACAGTCAAGCGTGTCTGAGGGTAGGTAGTCCGGAATATGCAGAGTCGGTCTTTCTCCATACAGGAATAAGACAGGGATGCTCGCTGTCCCCACTCCTTTGGGCGTTGGCTACAGGCAGATTTTACCGTTTGCTTATGCAATCTCTCCGTGCAAACAAGATGCCAACAGGCACTGTCAATCTGTTTGCGGACGATGTGTTTGGCAGCTGGAAGTTTCATAATCCAGAGGACTTTAAGCTCTCAGTCAGGGCCCTAGGCATTCTGGTGCACACGCTACAGCAGATTGGTTTGGAGCTAAGTCAGGATAAGACGGTTATCTTGCTTGCAGCGGCGGGCACCAGTGCCCCCTCGATCCTCTCCCGATACAAAATTACGATTGACAAAGTGGTGCACCTGAAAATCCCAGTAGGCAGGAATCGGATCCCATTTCGCATTGTAGCCTCCCATAAGTACCTGGGTGCTCACATTTCGTACCAGGGATTCGAGCTGCTTAACCTCAAGCATCGACTGCAAGTCACCTGGGGCAGCTTCTGGAGACTACATCACATACTCATCAATCGCAAACTTAGTCTGAGCACAAGAGTGAGGCTATGGCAGGTGTGTGTATTCAGTGTGCTGCGCTACTCCCTCCACAGTGTGGGATTACCACCACAAGGTAGCACCATGATCAAACAGGCAGTCAATAGGCAACTCCGCCTTGTTGCCAGATCCCCTGCACATCTCTGGCATGTCCCATCAGAAGACATCTTGGCCAGACTGAAGGTGACTGATCCATGGAGTACCCTTTGTCAACAATTTCCAGCTGCGGACACAAGGCCAGGCCTACTATGTCGAGGGATGGGTGTCTCCACCTGGCTATCGCGTTTACGCCTGACTTTTCAGTCCTCTTCGGATCCTGTGTCAGTTTCGGGATTGCCCCTGACAGAACAAGGGGGTGCCTCCCCCTCCTCAGTGTGCCTTGGTGTAGCCCTCACCCACGCAGGGGACCGAAGGATCCACTCGTTTCGTCAACTGCATTGTCAGGTCTGTGGGCAAGCTTTTGACTCCTTAGGAGCACTTCGTCGTCACACAGCACATGCTCACAAGCATGAGGCCAAACAACAGGAGGCGCATAATGCGGAGGAGCACCCCTCCTCCAGCCACATTGAGTGCATCAACAGCAAACCAAGTGATCACAGAAGGTTTGCAGTACATGCAGTCTCGCCGTAATGTCCAGGTTCATGCGACTGATCCACTGCTGACTGAGGGCTTACACCCATGCCTTGCGAAGGCTGACCCACAAACCAGATTTGTGTGGCTGCACTCTCAATCAGGCATGTGCATCTGCAGGCACTGCAACCGGGAATGTGGCACTTGGGATGATCTTAAAGTTCATGTCTTTACACGTGCCTGCCCAGTTCTGTTTCCTAATGGCATAGATTGTGCACCGGTCTCACCATCTGACAATGAACTAGGCACGTACTGGGTCACACAACTTAAAGGGCTCACTGATCTAACGTGGGAAGAGCTAGCAGTGCACCGTCGACAAGCCAAAAAGGATGCACATATGTATTGTCCGTTGTGTAGTCAAGGCCTTATTAAATCCAAGGGCCTCACGCAGCACCTGCAAGCTTTTCATGCTTGGGCGCTCCCGGCACTAGCCGCAGCCCGCGAGCACAGCAAGGCTCACTGCAAGGGCCCAGAGCTTGCCTCGCCCTGTAGCCTCTGCTCCAAAGCCTACAAAGGTCATCGCACTCAGCATGCTGCAACATGTGCAATGATTCTACACACCAAGCTAGTAGTGCTACTTCATCACCCTCAGGTCGCTGAAGATGGACTTGGAAGGAGTTTCGAAAGACGACTTGATGCAAGCAGCAGCAGAGCTCCAGCACTTACAGACTATGGCTTTAAGAGGCGAGGACTTCGCGAGTGCCTACCAGCCCCCTCCCCGGGCCCAACCCACGAGGAGCCCAGCTCGACTTCCTCCGGCAACGGAGGTTTTCACCTTCACGGGCGAAACGGAGGAGCAGCCACAGCAGAAGTACGACCGCCCCATCGGCAAAGGTCTGGACCAAGGGAAAGGACAGCTTCCTACCACTCGTGGAACGGGCAGACGTCCCCTCTTTGCGCCGGCACAGAGCAGTCAGGCGGCTCCCCAGAGGGGCCAACGAAGGCCTCACCAAGCGGTGTCCCAAAGCACACAGCCCAGCGGCAGTCCACTCTTGACCAACTCCTCAGCGAACTTGGTGGCCAGTGTAGCAAGGCTGTTGCTGAGGCACGAAGACCAGTTGACAGGGCTAGCACAAAACACGACATGGATCATGTTTCAGGGGACGGTGCCTCCCTTGACTCCCGTCCCAGCGCAAATGAGGATCGGAGAGCAATGGCAACTGACCAAGACAGAGTCGCCGGCTGCTCTCAAACACCCTCTGCGTACGGTCTTGTTTCAAACGTGGTTGAGCGAACTGAAAGTGAGGGTCGAGGAGCTGGGCACGGACCAAGTGAAGTACCAAGAGGCAGTCCGACTTGGAGCCCTGTCGGAACCCAACACTTTCCACTACAAGAAGTGGAGTCCGACTCTCCGCGCACTGGAAAGTGTGACAGACCGAGCTCCCTTGACGGCAGACGAGGTTCTGGGCTTGATCAACGAAGCCATGGTGCTCAGTACCCTGGAAGATGCCTTGATCAACTATCATCCGACGAAGCAGTTGCTTCCAGAAATGACAGGACCAACTGTCACGTTCTCCCTCGTGGTAGGACTCAAAGACCCAAAATCCTATCGCCTTTGGACTGTGATCGAGACCCTTTCGGGAAGCGGGGCGCTGATGTTAGTTGCGACAACACTGCGGCGGGAACGCAGAGCAAGGTCGCAGTTGGCACAGGCAGTGGCGCAGGACCTTCGGCGCTTGCCCCTAGACTCAACTGTGCTCAAGTGGCTCTGGCTAATCACTCTAACGACTGCTACGCCAATGCCACCTTGCTTGCCTACCTTTGGACCTCCCATCAGTACAAGCCAGCAGAGGTCGGCATGAGGGAGCACCTTCATGCGGATCTACAGGCCTGCCTGACTCAGCAGTCTAATCCAGTACACATCTGGAGTCGCCCACTTTGGAAGCGCTGCATGAGGCACTGGCCGCACAGTGGACGTCAGCAAGACGCTGCGGACTTTTTGTCACACGTTCAACAGGCTGCGGGTTTCTGCCACTTAGAAGGCTCTTGGGCGGTTCTCTCAGGAGGTTGTCTCAGGGATCAGGGTAGTGTAAGTCCCACAGTCCTTAACAGTGATCTAGATGCAATCCCTAAGGTCCAAGGCATGTGTCCACTGCAAAGTGTGGTACAATACTGGCACTCCGCTGTTCCCAGCCCTGTCTTCGTGGCAGGCACGAGGTGTGTTGCGCTCCAACTGAACCGCTTCCGTGCAGTTAACAGAGCAGTGCAAAAGACAACTATACCAGTCACCCTGCCTCTTCGCCTCCACCTCCCCACATGGGTAGAAGGTCAGCTGTGTCAAACTGAGTTTAGACTCAGCGCTGCTCTGGTTCACTTAGGTGAGACTCCCAGTTCAGGCCACTACAGGGCCCTGCTTGTCGAGACTTCTGGCCGTATGTGGTGGACGGATGACAATTGTAAAGCTGTTCGTCCTTCTCCTCAAGATGCTGGGTTGATAGTTCGGAACTCGTATGTGCTTTTCTACCGTCCATCACAGTAGGTTATGCTTAGAACCTGTAGGAGCTTCTTTTCTTTTCCAGTTTTAGGTGCTCAGTTCTGCAAACAGTTGCTGAGTGTAGAGGGTGATCAACACGATCATGCAGCGCTGCTGCCGCACATAAAATGCGTGCCGACGCTAGGCGGACGAGACCTCTCCGCTGCGAATTGAAGTGATGTGAAGTGAAGTACTACTACTACTACTACTACTACTACTACTACTACTACTACTACTACTACTGCTTCTACTTTAAGTTTTTTCGTGCAGGGTTTGGGCTTATTGCGGTGTCCGGTGTCTCAGCCAGTTGACCGTTTAAGGATTTAGAGCACAGGTTAAGACCGTGCACCCAGCAGATATAGAAATGCTGTACTGGAAATCCCTGAACCCTGAAACGTTCACAGGTCCAAAACAGAATAGAACCCACCACACTGCAGTATATGGGCTGTAGGTAGGGACTGCTCTGGAAAACGGGGTTTATCTATGATAGCTTCATAAGGATCCCGAACAAGCAAGGGTCTTGGATAGTTCGTAGTATGATTGTGAGAGGAAACACAGCTTTGGTTTCTGTTTTTAGTGTCCCCATTCTGTGAAGGCCCTCGGCGAGGAATCGGAGGTGGAATGCGAGGCCGGGGCTCGAGAATGGAGGGGTTTGGGGTTCAGGCTTTGGTGTTTGGGGCTTTGGGTTTAGGGTTTAGGGAGTTTGGGGCTTTGGGTTTATGGTTTAAGGTTTAGGGTTTAGGGAGTTTGGGGCTCATGTTTATTGCCGTGTCCCTTGCAGGGATCTGGGTCACAAGTTTAGCGAAGGCTTCTGGATTTCTGACGCCCAGTGTGACGCTGGGTTTAGGGTTTAGGGTTTCGGGGATAGCTTTGGGTTGTTGGAAACGCCTAAGCCATACATTGTGTGAAGTCAGATAGAGGTATCTCACTCTACTTGGTACTTGTGCTGTCCATTTGAAGGTTTTCCCGCATTTGCGCAAGATGTCACAAGCGTAGAGTCTTTTTTGAGCAAGGGAACCGAGAATTATACATCCTGGGCTTGAGCTCCACTTACCGCGTCTGGACAACTAAGCCTACCCAAAGAATCGCAAGCGGAGCTCTGAAATCCTCAAGTCTAAATGGTTCGGGTGGGGGGGTGTACGTTTGAGGTGTTGAAACAAGCCGTGGTGTAGCCAAAACAGTAAGTGTCCGAATTAATAGCAGCGGTTGTTGGGGATGGTCTCGCAGATTATTCTTATGTCTTCGGACCCCCTGGAAGCCATCAGAAGCCTAAACCCTAAACTTTACCTGAGCCCTGAACCCTAAACCCCCTAACCCTAAACCCTGAACCCTCAAAAAAGCCCTAAACCCTGAACCCCCAACCCTTGAACTCGAAGAGAGCAGCAGGGCCTGAAACCTTGATCTCTGGCGAAGCTCTACAGTCCGTTCAGGGTTGAGGGGGCGTGAGGGATCTTCTGTCTTTTTTAAATAGGTTTTTGAGGTCAGAGTCTGAGGTGCCCTAATTGAATTAGGGGTTTAGGGGTTTAGGGTTTAGGGTTAGGGAGTTGGAGTATCATATCTGGAAGGTCCAGTGTCGATGTAGGGGTTTAGGGTTTGGGGTCTACTCTTTAGTCTGTGTGGTTCAGGGCTTAGGGTCTATTGCCGTGTCTCCCTCAGGGATTGGGGGCAGAACTAGAACTTTAGTAAATGGTCCGGGGTTTATGAAAAGCCGTGGTCGGTAATGTGACGGTGTAAGTCTCCGGGATGAACGACGCATCATGTGAGGATGCTCCATTGCTCCGCCAAACGCCCTACACGGTGGATGATCTTCAGCGGCAACTAGCCTGCAGATGATCCCTCTTACGTTTTGGTCAGCCGCGGGCAGAAGAAGATCACGACTGCTGTTGACCAGATAATCTTTGTCCGCCAGTGAGTTTTTTTTTATGTTAACTGCCATCACTCCTGCTGTTCGGGTGCTTGCTTGCGCCATCAAGCGCTTTAGCCCGAAGATTCTTGATACATCCCTCTGACCTGAGCCGAAAGCCCCAATTCCAATACCAGTTAATCTCAAACTGCACCCTGAACCTGACACCCGAAACCTGCACAAACATGCTGCACCTCGAATTCTCAGTGTTAGGGTTTATGGCTTGTCGCTTCGAGCCTAACGGCCAGCACTTCAACCCTACGCCTAAAATCTAAAACCTACGCCCAAACTCAAAATCCTAAGGCCCTAAACGTGTCCTTGTGCCCGAGAGCTCAGTTTCCACAACACCCAACCTTTGAAGCTGTTTGGGTGCTTGCAAGAATAGTTCTAACTATCCCTAAGCCCTAGACTCCCTCCAAACTCAAACGCTCACAAGCCGAGATCACATTTTCAAAGCCCCACAAGAAGACTCCATAGAAATCCTCATCAAAGCTATCAGTCTCTCTTGCAGAAGACGACTCCGTAGAGATCCTCATTATAGCTGTCCGCAAGCCTTAGGCCATAAATCCTCATAGCAGCTGTCAGTCTCCCTTGCAGGTTCAGTGTCCCTGGGCAGTGGCCAAAGAGCCCTGCCTCAACTGCAGAAGCCGACACGGATAGTCAGGCGGATCGGGTGTGTTTTGATTTTTTTTTGGTTTGAGGTTTGCTAAAGCCTAGCGAAGCCCCAAATCCTGAAGGATGTTGCAGAGGTTTTAGGCCAAGTTTAGGGTGTACTTGGTATTTTCGTTATTGCTGGGGTTCGCGCTACGCTGATTGAATTTCTCTAACCACAATCTCACTTGGAACCTCCACCCTCAACCGTAAACCCTAAGAGTAACTAACTCGCGGGGACCTGTTTGCTAATCCCCAAGAGCTTTATTCGGCGCCCTTCTAACGCAGGGGCCGGGATAGTTCGTACCATTATCCCTCAGAGTTTATGATGAGGGTTCTAGGGTTTTAAGGTGTTTGGGCGGTTGGGGGTTTAGGTTTTTCGGGTTGCAGGCTTGTGCGTCTCAGGGCTTAGACTTTCTCACGCGGGCCGCTTTTATTTTGTAAACAAGCCCCCAGTATTCCTATGGTATAGAATAGAACACCCCAAAATATCCCTAAACCCCACACCTCTACACTCCTAAACCCCTAAACCTCCGAACCCAAAGCCCCAAAAACCCTGCACCGAGTCCTTAACTCGAACTCACAGGCCCGAACTTGGAATCGGGGACCCGTCTCCGACACAAACCGAACACTGGCAAAATGGGGTTCTTCAGCAAACCGTACATTAGGATCGGGCTTTGAGGCATATTCATGCGTGGACTTCAGCAGAGCCCTTTTCTGGTTGTTCAGGATAATACAGGGATGCAAGCCCTGCCAGCGGCTGCCAGGCTCGCGGCACCACGATCATTTTGAATGTGTACCACCTGACGCAATCGGAGGGGGTACCTGGGAGTCCGTTTCAGAAGTGGAGCTTTCTAGTGGATTCGGTACAGTCGTTTTCGCGGCTCTGTTGGCCTCTCGGGTCTACTGTGGTTTTGATGGCAGAGTGCCGAAGACGTGGAGAAGAGACGCCAATGCGCAGTTGCGTGGGATCTCGAGTTGCACGACGCGTTGCCTGGCACGGATTCACGACGGCCCTGAATCTCCCAGGTGCAATGGTTCAACACCCTCTTCGCCCACGAGCACGCCCCCGTGACCCATGCCGCATTTGGACCCCGGGAACAGGCCCAGTTTTCCTGGAAGCCATTCTTATGCTATGTTGCATTACAACAATATCACACTATAACTATATACTTATATTATACGAGGTTGTAGTACTGTAGTATAACATATCAGACTATGCTGTACCAGAGTACCTCAGAACAGATATGGTATGCTGCACCGAACGAGCAGTCATCCGAGGTCCAGCTGTTGGGTCTGTTCCACGTGGGCGTGCAAGTGGGTGACGAAGAGCGCCTGAGCTGTTGATGGATATTTGGTCTGGTGTTCTTATGGCTTGAGGCATTTCAGGGTTTAGGGTTTAGGGTTCAGGGTTTAGGGGATAGCGAGTCGAGGTTTTCGGCATGCCTTGGGACACGTGGGGGGGGGGGGGTCGAGTCTTGCCGAGAGCATTTGACGCTCGGGATCCTCGGGTCCGTCAGGCTAAGATTCGCAAACGAGAGGGTGGAGGCGATGTTTTCCGGACGTACATGAGATTATTTTATAGTACATTATCGTATAGTAGATGCTATTATGTCATACTGAACTATGTTAGATTATGCGGACTTGCGGTTTCGTCATCAGTTTTCTGAAATGGCTCGGGGATCTGGAGAGGTGGGCTTTCGGAGCCACTCTGGGCGGCAGCGGCGTCTGCCGCCACAAGCCCCGTGGTGCCGACCAGCACCACTTCCACCGAAGCATCGTCATGTGCCTCGGCCCTGAGCAGTAGCAGTAGCATTCCAACGCTTCCAACATGATTTCGAGCTGAGGCTGTAGCCAGGATCTATGCATCGACTTGTTTAGCTGAAGCGCAATGAAGTAGCCCCCCTCATCACGAAAGAGGTCTATAGTACCTTTGGAAAGATCATGGAACTACAAGTTCACATTCCTTTAACCTTTGTCGTTCCAGATCATCCCAAGGTTATGCTCGTCCCAGCAAACCCTTTGCTTCAGCTATCGCTTTTGCATTTTGTTCATGGCCAGTGTCAGCCGATGTGGCATTCTGAAACTGCAGCCGGGATCGCCGGGGTTGGGGCTCGAGTGTTTGGAGGTCGGGATCTCGTTGCGGATGAAGGGTGGACTTGCGGCTGTAGCTCGCTGCCAAGAGCAGCTCATACCTTTGCAGCTTGCAGGTTTTTTTAGAACTGACTGCTCCGTTAAAGTTAGGAAGAGGCCAGGCTTGGTTGAGACAAACGCATAAGGGCTGTTGAAGCTCGCTCGTGCAGCAATTCCCTGATCCTACTGGAGGGGCTCAACGGCGCTTTCCAAGCGAAAGCTGGACGTGATGTACAGAACCCTCGACGCTCTGCTGCAACAAGATTTTTTCGATGCTTAGGACAGCCTTTTGTCCTTCGGTGTCCGGCCCTTCCTAGTTCCGCACGGGTATGCTGTTGGCTGGAAAAGCATGGCTGCAAAGACGCGTCGAAGCGACAGGAGGACCGCTGGTCTGGCGCCAGTTATTGCCCACTGCAGAACAACTGCATCGACTTCGCAAGCGAGGCCCACAGATTCTTTTCCCTTCAGTGCTGTTGTCCGGGGCATGCCATCGTGAATGCTGCATATCTGCTCTTCGAGTTCCGGCGCCTGACGCCTTGCTGTACCACAAGTCGCAGTTCACGCCGCCTCCAGCCTCACCCCAGAGTCGGCCCTGCAATCACTCATAGGAGGGTAAAAGGGGGTTTAGTCTATGGGGGTTTAGTAGGGGTTAGGGTTCCCGTAACGGGTTCGTAATAAGGAATCCCTACCACAAGAATCTTAAACCCCCTTTGTGGCCTCCCATCAACAGACGCTGGCAGGTGTGTCGACTTCTCGACGTGGCAGACATTCCGGCCTGGGTCAACCGCCCCTTAGCAGCGTGGGACTGCGGTAGCTGCAACCACATGGGGGTTTCCGAAATTTAGGGGTACCTTATTTTGGGTACCTTGTAATAAGGATCCTACTATTTAGGGTACTACATTAGGGTCCCCTATGTTCGGGGACGTTCAGTGGGTTTCCAACGGGTTTCGAGCGGGTCTGAAGCGGATGTTGAAAGGCCTTTGACCGAGTCTTGCATGCTTGATCCAGTGCCTTTGCAACCCTTCGTAACCTTCTCAATCACTTTCAAACTCCTCGCAAAGACACTTCAGCGCGTTTGCAAATCCCGCCCGGAATCAATTTCTGGATGTGCGGTTGTTATGCGCTCAAGTTGAAAAGCCTTCTCAGTTTTCAGAGCCGCTTGTCGTCGGAAGATACAGGCACTCTGTGTCACATCGACTTCAGGACGTCAGGGTCTAGGGGAGGTGCAAGGCAACCTAAACCCTAAACCTTCAAGTTTTCAACCCTCAACCCTAAACCTTCAAACCTGAACCCTGAACCCTACACCTTCAAACCTCAAACCCTGAACCCTCAAAAACCCTAAACCCTCATTCGTGGCCGCGGCTTCAAAGATTTTCCTGAGGACCCGCGAGGCTGGGCTCCTTCTTGGGCCGGCTGGGCTCCTCCTTGGGGCAGGCTCGGCCTCGTGGTTTTGCAGATCCGTGCTGAGGTATGTCCGGAGCCTTGAGGTTTGCAGGTTTAGGTTTGAAGGTTTGAGGGCTTGGGGTGAAGGCATGTTTGGATTTCAGGCTTGAGGGTTTAGGTATGTTTCGGTTCTAGGTTTGAGGGAAGGTTTGGGGCTTAGGGTCGAGTCTTTCGGAGTTTTGGGGTGTAGGGTGACATTGGGGCCCAGGGGGTTTTGTTGGCAGCGGCAAACCACACGGACCGTGCCCAAGACAACTGCGCCCAGGGGTTGGTGTTCCTCACCAGCAAGCTTGGCCAGCCATGCTTGTCAGTGTTCGCTGCCTCCTATGTTCCCGTTGTTTCGCGTGAAGTGTTCCGAGAAGATACAACATGTCAGGTCCAGATCCTTCTAATTTCGAACGACAAAACACATCGGGAGACCTGCCACAGAAGTTCCGGCATGCTACCTATAGTCTCCATTGCAGTTCCTTTTTTTGGTTAACCAGTTTTATGGTTAGGAACCTATAATAGAGATTTTGGTTAACCAAAAACAGGAACTACAATAGATACTATAGGTAAGACTTGAACCCGAATTAAGATCAAGGATGCACTGTTTCGAGGCTCGCCTGCCCGAGCCTCCGGTGAGGTCCCTGTACCTGTGAGTGCCATGCCTGCAAGCCTTGACCGCGACGGTAGACGGAGAAGATTCAGGTATACACCAAAACCTCTTCTGGCCCCTATTTTATGAAGATTGAGATCGAAGGAGCTCAACTATCGCGCACTTAGTACGTCCGGAGCCCTTACAGTACTTCTGTTGTTGACGTTGTTATTGCCAAATAACTTCGAAGTACTTCCCAATGCCGCAGTGTGTATTCGATGCATTGTTCAATGTGTCATAGTCTGAACGTGGGGATTGGGGCAAGGGTGCAGGGCTCGGGGTAAGGCTTAAAGGGTTTAGAGTTTAGGGGGCTTAGCTAAACCCTAAACCCTAAGCCCGGGTCTAGGGGCTTAGGGGTTTAGGATCTTCTCGCCTGAAGCTGCCAAGTAGACCCTCAATCTGTGAACCCCGGTCTCCTAAGTGCCTGGTGGCACTTGGCTCAGGGCTTGGGGCCCAGGGTTCAGGGGACCGAAATGCGGGGGTTTAGGGTTTAGGGTTTAGGGGACCCAAAGGTTAGATGCCAATCCAAAGCTGTTCGAGCTTTTTGTGAGCCCTTGATCATTCCTTCGAGCTGTGGCCGAGCGGAGAACACTAGAGCTTCAAATTCCGTAAGCCACACTCGACGGCCGGAAAACCAGCAGCGCCGAAGGATTGCACCAAAACTGTAGAGCTCTTCCGGAGGGCTTACTTGGTAGGATGATCTTGCTTACAACTTTGTATGACTACCTCAAGTGACCACAGAGCTCGATACTTGAGCACTACATACCAGAGCCGAAAATTAGGTTTCAGGGGTTTCATGTCCTGAGCTATGATCCATTGAAACACATCCTTCAGCTGCTGCCAAGAGACGCCAATATTGCAGACAATTCTTGAACTTGTAGTGGCCGTTGAATCAACAAAGCACCTCTGCAATGGCTGACAGTGCAGTCTCTAGGCATTTCCGAGGCGTGAATAGTCGCAGACTTGTGCCCAGATAGTCGCGTATAACCATGCTACAGCATACCCCACGGCCCTATTCCAATCATTAGGGCCCTAAATATTTTCTGAAGACCTTCCGGCAGAGGCCTTTTTGGGTATCCTACATATTAGGTGCCGTACAATATTAGGGACCCAGAAAGAGATCATAATTACCCATGTGTCGACCCTATGAATAGACCCCTCCTTAATCTTCTTAAAGCCTACAGTGGGGATTCTGAAGGCAGTGATAGGCAGTCCTTCATATGAAGGGGGCTCATGGATCAGGGTTCTAGCTTCGGCTTAGACCCCAACAAAGCACGCAGGGCATCCTCCGGGTCATGTTCGTGTGGTTGAGGAAGCATGACATTGTTTCGTTGCCAGGTGATGCTTGCATTGCTAAGGGTGATGAGTATATACTTAGTAGCTGAGTAGGTAACCTTTAACTTTCTGGTGGTTTTATAACAATCCTACCATAGTTGAAAAGGTTAACCTTTTGAAGGGTTCCTTCAAGGGTTACTACGAGGGTTCCCTCATAGTCCTAGCATAAACCCCCTAAACCCTATACGGAGTATTTAGCCCAAACCCCTCAAACCCCTAAAGTAGTAACCTAAACCCCCAAAGCCCTTAAACCGACAAACTCCGAAAAAGACAAAGACCCTAAACCCGAAACCCGCCAAAGCCCTAAACCCTTAAACCCTATACTGTAAACCTTGAACCCCGACCCCAGGGCTAGGCCCCCTTCGTGAAGGTACAGGGCCTTGGGCTTAAGGAGATGACATGCTCATGCTGGGGTTGAGGGTATTCAGAAGCTTTGGGATTAGGAGTTCGGGCCTAGTCAGCTCCTGATGTAGGGTCGTCGCAGGATCTATGGCTTAGGGCTTTGGGTTTAGGGTTCGGGGCTTAGCTTGAACTTTTACTGTGCCAGTGGCTTATCGCAGTCTGAAGAGGAGGGCCTATCAAAGCCTCTACACTGCCCTTGAACCTGGAACCCGAAACCCTTAAACCTGAAAAGCCCGCGGCTGAGCCAAGGTGGACGTTGGTGGCCTCGGTGCTTAAAAATTGGCACTGGTGTCGACACCAGCGATTGCAAATTAGATCCGAACCTTTGCACGCTACCAAAGCCTAACCTTAAACAGTCCTCCAATATCAACTTGCATTGTTTTGGGGGGCACTTGCAACTTAGTCTTTCTATACTGTTGTTCTCAAGCTTAGCCCCTTCATTTCTTGATTGGCTTTTTGCGAAGTTACGGTTGCAGGTGACAGGTTCATGATAGCATAGGGGTCGGGGAACTTCGTAGTAGCATGTCCTTATGGTCTGTAGCTATCTGGAATTTATACGATAATACACCAAAACTTGGTTCAAATTATGAAGGCCTCTACACTCTGCCGAGGCATAAAACCTTAAGCTTTGGAAAATCCAACCTGAAAGCTTAACGCCCTCAAACCCGCTCGGTCAAAGATGCCACATCGTCACGCCGAAGAGGCTAACAGTGCCGGGACAAGCCATCCAGTGCGAAGAGAGGAAAAGCTAATCAGCACATGGCTTTGTGAGATAAGATAGGGCCTTTGCCGAGGGTAAATCCTGAGCTGAAGCCCAGGAAGCCTTAGTGATTCGTATGCTGCCCCCTTAGAAGCCCTTTGTAGTTGGAGTTATGCTTTCTGATTATGGAGAGCCCCACAGACCCAAAACTCTTCAGCTCAGACAAGGATCCTAAAAGGAATCCTCAAAGAGGATAACTTCCTCGACTTATTGGGGACTAAACACCCAATCCCGTATAGAAGACCCTGAGCTTTTAAGCAACCCTGAGCATAACCTGTTGCAAGTATCGAGGCCCCTATACTCACCCCCTTCGTAATCCGTTATAGAACCCCAGAGCCTGTCAAACCCTTATTCTGTGTTGTTCTGCTAAGTTAAGTGCCCTACAGTAGTACAGGTTTTGCTTCGGGTTAGGATTTATGGGTTTGTGGCGTTGATGGCTACGGGACGTTTTGCGGGCGGGTTTGCATAAACTGAAAGCCCATGCGGAAACCCTGCATCCTAAGCTGAACCCAGCGTCGACTCGGGATGTTCGGGCAGATGTAAAAAGGAGTTCAAAAAATAAGCTTAACCCAGCCGCCGAAGCAACTTCAATTCCAAGGCGCTGCTTAGAGCAAAGGACAGGCTGACCCAACCTTCATCTTGTCATGGTTCGTTGTGCAAGCGTTGTGGTCACTGTGACGTTTTTGCGGGCTTGTCACTATAACCATCAAGCTGTTTGTACGCAATGCTCCGTTTTGCGAGTGGCACCAAGTGCAGTGTGTTCATGTGTTTCAACCCGATGTTGTTTGCGTCGGAGCGCAGGCACGCCTAATAACCTAGCAGGACACTAAGTGGTGGGAGTTCCTGCCATCAGCAAACAGTGCCATATAGTACTCTCAGCACGGTAAACCTTAACGCTTAAAGTCCCTGAGCCCCCGAAATCTCGGAACTCCGAGGACCGAACCCCGGCATCCCTCAAACCCCACATCCCTGAAGCCCTAACTTCTGCGAATCTGAGGCCCTCAAGGTTAGGGTTTTTGGGGTTTAGGGGCTTCGGGTTTAGGAACCCCGAATCCGAAAATTAAGCCTTAGACCGTGAACCCTAACGCAGAGCTTTCGAGGCAGGTGACAGATCCGAAACCTGCTGAGGGGTCCTGGAAGGTTTAGGGTTGGACTCCATACAAGTGTTGAAGGATTAGGGCTTTAGGATGTTGGACTCCATTCGAGATTTTAAGGTTCAGGGCTTTTACAAGTTTTTAAGGCTTAGGGCTTGAGGATATTGGACGCCATGCAAATCCCAATAAAGAATGCCTATGAACCTTCCCGTCCCTCATAGAACATGTATGAGTCCCTAAACTTATTGGATGCTTCTTCAAGCCGCAAGAAGCCATCCCTGATCCAAGTAATCTCCCACAGCCTAAATCTTTAAGCATGATACACACCCCGATATCCCAAGCCCACGCCGTCCTTGGTCCTTTTCTTGGCGGGTTGTGGGACTTGGTGTCGTGCCCTGCCTCTGCCGACCCAGTTTCCGAATAGCGCACCGGCTTGCAGAAGCACCAGCGCAGCAAAGCCCAACCGGTCAGCGCAGTACTCGAGGTACTGAGATGCAGAGAACAATAAAAGTAACGAGCTTTCCAGCATGGCTTCAATCAGACGCTTCAGGGTATATAGGTCAGAGTTGAGGGATATCGGGTTGAGGGCAGACGGTTCGCAATGTAGGTTTTACGTGGGGGTGCATGGACGGTAGGTTTGATTGCGCAAATGCAGACAGTTTACCGATCTTTCTATCTAAGGCTGTGCGTGTTTTGCTGTCAGATTGCACGAAGATGCTCGGATCATGTAATTGCTGAGCTGCTACTTTGAGGGAGGCCTTGGACACAAGTCTAAGTGCTCCGACTGGCCATGGAGTGCCTGGCTGCAGTATGCCAATGCGCCCTTCTTAGCTTCCGTTCCGGTCGTGAGGCAAAGGCAGCAAAGATGTTGCTTGTTGCGATCCCCAAAGCCCTAAATTTGATCCTAAATTCTTGGCTCCGAGGGCTCTGCGAAGCCGCTCCGCCTCCAGCGCCAGGGAGGCCAGGGGCGAGCGCAGGGCTCACATGTGTCGCACCAAGCGGGTCACGTAGCCACCCAAAAGGCCGAACTCTGCACCCTAAGCCCTGAACCCAGAACTCCAATGCACACTCTGAACTCCTAAACCTCAAGCCCTCAACCAAGAACTCCAATGTAATTACACCCTAAAGTCCTAAACCCTAAGCCCTAGTACACCCAGAACTCTACGTACACCCTCAACCCTGCACCCGAAAGCCCTAAACCCATGTGATCAGGCTCGAGAAGTCCGACGAGGAGGAGTTCGGGCCTTTCCAAAAGGGCGAGGCCAGGGCCACGGCCCTAAACCCCAAACCCTAAAACTCTAATCCCTACCCAAACCCTCAACGCCAAACCCCAGGCCTCAACCTGCCGCACATGTCGGATTTCTGGGGCTTCCTTCCTTGCCGGGTGCCACCCAACGGACTTGGCGGCATCACTGTAGCGAGTCGGCACAAGCCGAAACAACCTTCAGAAAAAATGATCCCCACTTTTGCCGGTACATCTCAGAGGCCTCCGACGCTGTGTCTCTCTCCCCGCCCGGCACTTCGGTACAATCCAGCCCTTCCAGTATGCCCCGGGCTGAGCTTCACAAAGCAGGAGCTTTAGGCTGGAGATGAGCATCTCGCACATGTCTTAGAGCATGCAAGCAGAAGCAGAAAAGCAGGCAACCCGTGTTCAAGACAAGGCCTTCCCAGCCAGTCCCGTCGCCGGACGCGCCGAGCTCGGCGGCTGTTGCAGAGGCGCACGAAGCTGCAAAGCTGGTTTAGGGTTTTAGGGTTTAGGGTTTAGGGTTTTAGGGTTAGGGGTTTAGGGTTTTGGGTTTAGGGTTTAGGGTTTTAGAGTTTACGGCTTGAGGGCTTGGGGTTTAGGGTATAGGGTTTTAGGGTTTGAGGTTTGGGGCTTCTTGGAATGAGACTTGGATGGGGGTGAGGGTTTCTCATGATGATTCGCTAGTTTGGGGTCTATGTTAAGTTGGGCCGAGCATAAGGAACCCCGAGGTACGTACGTACATACATACCCCCCCGCCAAAAGTTTTTGGCGGAGGGGGCGGGGGGAAGTACGTCGTATGTACGTACGTACCTACTCGCGTAGTAGCTATAACGTTCATACGTACCCCCCGGGTACGTACATACATACACACTTCCCCCTCCCCGTGCGACAATTTGTTAGATGCATACCGATGCACGTAGTAACATACTAACGTACATACTGGTCCCCCCCGGCGGGTACGTACGTACATACATACTCCCCCCTCCCCCTGCGAAAAACACCGAGGTACGTACGTACATACATACTCCCCCGCCCTCACCAAAAAATTTGGCGGACATTTCGTTAGATGCATATCGATTCACCTAGTAGCATACTAGCGTACATTCTGACGCCCCCCCGTGGGTACGTATGTACATTCATACTGCCCCCCGCCCCTGCGAAAAAACCCGAGGTACGTACGTACATACCTACTATCGTAGTTAAGTAGTTTCATACTACCGTACTAACATACTAACGTACGTACCTACCCCCCCCGGTTCCGGTACCTGCGTGCATTCTGCTCCCCTCCCTTTCCGACACTGTGTGGCCGGAGGGGAAGGCCTGGCGGAGGTACGTACGTATGTACGTATGTCCCGACCTACCTACCTGCCTACGTGTGTACCTGGCTTTGTACCTGTACTGACATACTATCGCACTAACCTACCAACGTACATATGTACCCCCAACGGGCTAACGTATGTACATACATACTCCCCCCTCCCTGTGTGGTTCAGGGCTTAGGGTCTATTGCCGTGTCTCCTTCAGGGATTGGGGGCAGAACTTTAGTAAATGGTCCGGGGGTTTATGAAAAGCCGTGGTCGGTAATGTGACGGTGTAAGTTTCCGGGATGAACGACGCATCATGTGAGGATGCTCCCTTGCCCCGCAAAGCGCCCTGCACGGTGGATGATCTTCAGCGGCAACTAGGCTGCAGATGATCCCTCTTACGTTTTGGTCAGCCGCGGGCAGAAGAAGATCACGACTGCTGTTGACCAGATAATCTTTGTTCGCCAGTGATTTTTTTTATGTTAACTGCCATCACTCCTGCTGTTCGTGTGCTTGCTTGCGCCGTCAAGCGCTTTAGCCCGAAGATTCTTGATACATCCCTCTGACCTGAGCCGAAAGCCCCAATTCCAATACCAGTTAATCTCAAACTGCACCCTGAACCTGACACCCGAAACCTGCACAAACATGCTGCACCTCGAATTCTCAGTGTTAGGGTTTATGGCTTGTCACTTCGAGCCTAACGGCCAGCACTTCAACCCTACGCCCAAAGTCTAAAACCTACGCCGAAAACTCAAAATCCTAAGGCCCTAAACGTGTCCTTGTGCCCGAGAGCTCAGTTTCCACAACACCCAACCTTTGAAGCTGTTTGGGTGCTTGCAAGAATAGTTCTAACTATCCCTAAGCCCTAGACTCCCTCCAAACTCAAACACTCACAAGCCGAGATCACATTTTCAAAGCCCCACAAGAAGACTCCATAAAAATCCTCATCAAAGCTATCAGTCTCTCTTGCAGAAGACGACTCAGTAGAGATCCTCATTATAGCTGTCCGTAAGCCCTAGGCCATAAATCCTAATAACAGCTGTCAGTCTCCCTTGCAGGTTCAGTGTCCCTGGGCAGTGGCCAAAGAGCCCTGCCTCAACTGCAGAAGCCGACACGGATAGTCAGGCGGATCGGGTGTGTTTTGATTTTTTTTTGGGTTTGAGGTTTGCTAGAGCCTAGCTAAGCCCCAAACCCTGAAGGATGTTGCAGAGGTTTTAGGCCAAGTTTAGGGTGTACTTGGTATTTTCATTATTGCTGGGGTTCGCGCTACGCTGATTGAATTTCTCTAACCACAATCGCACTTGGGGTTCAGGAGTTTAGGGAGTCTGGATTTAGGGCTTAGGAGCTTAGGATTTTGGGGGTTAAAGTTTAGGGTTTGGGAGTTTAGGATTTAGGGTTTAGGGTTTAGGAGTTTAGGGTTTAGGATTTAGGATTTAGGGTTTAGGAGTTTAGGAGTTTAGGATTTAGGGTTTAGGAGTTTACGGTTTTAGGGTTTTAGGGTTTTAGGGTTTTAGGGTTTGGGGTTGAGGCTTTAGGGCTCGGGGTTCAGGAGTTTAGGGAGTCTGGGGTGTTTTGGGGGTTGTCAGTTTAAGTTGGGCCGGCAAACCGTTATCCCCGGTGTCGAGGCCGGCGTTTCTCTTTATAGGGGAAGGTCTAGGGTCGATGATGTAGGGCTTGAGGGTCCAGGGTCTATCGTTACTACTGCCACTGCTGCGCTACTGCTACTACTACTACTACTACTACTACTACTACTACTACTACTACTACTACTACTACTACGACTACTACGACAACGACTACTACGACTACGACGACGACGACGACGACTACTACTACCACTACGACTACTACTACTACTGCTTCTACTTTAAGCTTTTTCGTGCAGGGTTTGGGCTTATTGCGGTGTCCGGTGTCTCAGCCAGTTGACCGTTTAAGGATTTAGAGCACAGGTTAAGACCGTGCACCCAGCAGATATAGAAATGCTGTACTGGAAATCCCTGAACACTGAAACGTTCACAGGTCCAAAACAGAATAGAACCCACCACACTGCAGTATATGGGCTGTAGGTAGGGACTGCTCTGGAAAACGGGGTTTATCCATGATAGCTTCATAAGGATCCCGAACAAGCAAGGGTCTTGGATAGTTCGTAATATGATTGTAAGAGGAAACACAGCTTTGGTTTCTGGTTTTAGTGTCCCCATTCTGTGAAGGCCCTCGGCGAGGAATCGGAGGTGGAATGCGAGGCCGGGGCTCGAGAATGGAGGGGTTTGGGGTTCAGGCTTTGGTGTTTGGGGCTTTGGGTTTAGGGTTTAGGGAGTTTGGGGCTTTGGGTTTATGGTTTAAGGTTTAGGGTTTAAGAAGTTTGGGGCTTATGTTTATTGCGGTGTCCCCTGCAGGGATTTGGGTCACAAGTTTAGCGAAGGCTTCTGGATTTCCGATCCCCCGTGGCCAGCAGTGTGACGCGGTGTAAGTTTCGGGTTCAGGTGTTTAGGGGTTCGGGGATAGTTTTGGGTTGAAAACGACTAAGCCATAAATTGTGTGGAGTCAGATTTAGGTATCTCTTGAAGGGTTTCCGTTCTGGGATTTTTGCTGAGACTGTACTTGGTACTTGTGCTGTCCATTTGAAGCATTTTTCTTATTTGCGCAAGATGTCACAAGCATAGAGATGTTTTTGAGTAAGGGAACCGAGAATTAGAGCTCAGGGTACATCCTGGGCTTGAGCTTCACGTACCGCGTCTGGACAACTAAGCCTACCCAAAGAATCGCAAGCGGAGCTCTGAACCATCGGAAGCCTAAACCCTAAACTTTACCTGAACGCTGAACCCCTAACCCTAAACCCTGAACCCTCAAAAAAGCCCTGAACCCTGAACCCCCAACCCTTGAACTCGAAGAGAGCAGCAGGGCCTGAAACCTTGATCTCTGGCGAAGCTCTACAGTCCGTTCAGGGTTGAGGGGGCGTGAGGGATCTTCTGTCTTTTTAAATAGGTTTTTGAGGTCAGAGTCTGAGGTGCCCTAATTAAATTAGGGGTTTAGGGGTTTAGGGTTTAGGGTTTAGGGAATTGGAGTATCATATCTGATGATAGCTAAACCTACACCCTAAACCCCCCAAAAAGCACCAGAGTCCTCCTAGGATAGGGGCCTGGAAAATTCGTAGCAGCGATATTTAGTGTTAGAGATACCGCAGCGTAGGGGCTGACGCTTGGGTTTTCATGTGGGAGTTTCCGAAAATAGGGGACCGGATCTTTATTATAGGGGCCCCAAATAAGGTACCCCTACTATTCGGAAACTCCCATGTTGTGACGGTCCCATCAAGTGAGGAGGAGCCATTGCTGCGCGATGTGGCTGATCCTCAGCAGCAACTGCCGGGTCAAGAAGTCTTAAGTGAAGGTCTTGGGTCGATGATGCAGTGGCTTAGGGTTCAGGGTCCGTTGTCAAGGCTTTGCGTTTTAGGGCTGAAGGTTCATTGCCTCTGGCGAAGCCCTAGGCCATTATTTAGGAAGGGTATGTCAGAGTTCTATAGTGTGTTTTATGGTGGGTTTAGGGCTCGAATTAGAGCATTTTGCGGATGGTTGAGGGTGTACTTGATAAACGGATTATTCCTGGGGTTCGACCTACGCTGAGTTGGCACAACCCATCTCCCTCAGCCGTAAACTCGAAGAAGCACTCACTGAGACCCTCACTACGCCCTGTCGGGCTGTGAGTCTCCCCACGAGTTCACCCCAAAGCCCAACAGGTTTGGGGTCTCAGGTTTCTAGGGCTGTTGAGTTTTGGTAGTTCTTAAGGCCCTGATATCATAGAACCCTACTATAGGCCCCTTTGAAAAACCCTATACAGGAACCCTCAAAATAGTGTAGGTAATTATAAAGGTTCTTTTTGTGGAGTAGCTTTTGGGGGTTAAGGCTTGTGGGTCTCCGGGCTTAGTGTTGACTATAGCATCCTTGCAAAGGAACCCTGAAAAGGTACCGTTGTTCTGACTATGAAGCAACCATGTTATCTTCCAATTCGGACCGATCTCCAACACAAACGGTGAAATGGGGTAGGAAATCCCTACCAGGACCTAGGTTTTACCTTAAACCCTGAACCCTAAACCCTGAACCCTAAACCCTGAACCCTAAAGCCTAAACCTAAACCCTAAACACTAAATCCTAAAGCGTGTTTAATCCTGAGTCCTCGTGCTGACCTTTCCAGGCTCCCGACACTCAGATCATATTGAACGTGTACGACGTTTCGAACTCGGAGGTCGTACCTGGGAGTTCGTTTCAGAAGCGGAGTTGTCTTAGCAGGTTCGGTGCAGTCGTTTTTGTTGCTTTGTTGCCCTCTCTGGTCTCTTGTGATTTTGATGGAAGGAAGAGTGCCGAAGCCATTGAGAAGAGTTTTGAGGCCGATCAAGAGCCCCCAATTGCGCAGTTGTGTGGGATCTTGAGTTGCACATGTTGCATGTCACGGATTCAGCACCGTACTGAGTCTCCAAGGTGCAATGGATCAACGCCTTCTTCGCCTACGAGCATGCCCCCGTGACCGGGCCGCATTTGGACCGGCCGACTTGACGCCAGGCTCGGGCCCAGTTTTCCTGGAAGCCAGCGTGGGAATCGGCAAAGTATGCATAATATATTACTATAGTATAGCTCAGTGTCGTAAATACAGCGTAGCATAGTAACGCGTAGTATGGTATCGTATCGTATCGTATAGTATAGTATAGCATAGTATGGTGTAGCATGTTATAGTACGGTATAGTATGGCATGGTATAGTATAGTCTAGTATAGTATGGTGTAGTACGTTACAGTACGGTATAGTATGGCATGGCATTGTATATGTACAGTATCGCGGCATGGTATCGCATGGTATCAGGTATTACATGATATCGTGCGGTATTGTATGGAATTGTATGGTATCGTATGGTATAGTGTTGTATAGTATGGCACAGTATGGCATAGAATGGCATAGTATGGTACATAGTAGAACATGATATGCAGTTGGTTGCTCTTCCAACATCTGAGTTCAAGCTCGCGGGCGTGTTCCACGTGGGCGTGCAGGTGGGCGATGAGGAGTGCCTGAGCTGCGGATAGCGAGTTCGAATCGAGCTTCTACTACAGGGGCCTAGATAATTACCAATACTATTCCTAGGGTTCCTTATACAGTTATAGCATAAATATACCCCCCAAACCCTATTCTAATTGTTAAGGCCCCTATGTTGTGCGGATGTCGATATGGAGTGCAATGGAACACGGGATTCTCGGTCCATCATGCTTGGAGACCCAACAGGGTGCCCTGCATCACACGATGGGTGCGTCTCCTGCGGTCACTGAGGGCTTGCTGACCGGACATTGCTTAAACCCTAAACCGCCCTAAACCCTAAACCCTAATCATGCAGGCGGAGGTGTCAGGAAGTGTCGAAGGTATCATCATGGAGAGCATGCCTTGGTATTCAGTGCAGACCTCAAAACCTTCAGGGGCTCCAGCGTCCGCGTTTAAGAGCAACGCTTGCAAGCATACGAAGGAAGTGTCGGATCTTCCATCTTCAAGGTTTGGGCTTAGTCATGTTGTCGGCTACTAAAGTGGCCTGAATAAATACCACTACAGTTGTAGTATTCTTCACCCACAAAACCCTACTCCAATTATCAAGGCCCCAAAATTAGCTCGTTGCGGGGATCTGGAAAGGTGGGTTTTCGGAGCCACTCGTCGCGGCACCGGCGTCCGCCGCCACAAGCCTCGTGGTGACGAGCAGCACCACTTCCGGGAAAGCATCGTGATGTGCTTCGGCCGTGAGCAATAGCATCCAAGTTACTATAGGAGCTTGAAAAATTCGAATAGGGTTTTGGGGCCCATTGTACTATAATTATAGTGAGGAACTCTTAAAATGTATTCCAACTTGATTTCGAGCTGAGGCTGTAGCCAGACAGTAAGTCACACGCCTGGGGTGAGGACTAGGCGCACGAATCGCAATGCGAACTGTGATGTCGACGCATCGACTGTGTCGCTGAAGCACAATACAGGAGCCCCTCTTCTTTGGAAAGAAGATGGAGTTACAAGTTCACATTCCTTTATCTTGTGTCGTGCCAGATCATCCCAAGGTTTGGTTCATCCCAGGAAACTCTGTGCTTCAACAATCGCTGTTGCAGTTTGTTCATTGCCAGTGTCGGCCGATGTGAAGTTCTGGAACTATGGTCTGAGTTTCGCAGGGGAGGAGGGGGGGTGTGCTCGAGTGTTCGAAGCTCTGGATCTCGTTGTGGATCAAGGGTGGGCCTTGTGGCTTGCCGCCAGGAGCAGCTCACTTGCCTTTCCAGCTTGCAGGTTCTTTTAGGCAGTGAGCGTTCCGTGTACGAGTGGAAGATGCCAGTGGTGGGTTGAAACAAATGGATATGGACTGTTGCAGCTCGCTCGGTATTTCCCTGATCCTACGCGAGGGGCTCAGCGACAGTGCCGGCGCAGGGGCTGGAAGTCATGTACAAACTCCTCGATGCTCTGCTGCAACAAATTGACATGCTTCGGACAGCCTTTTGTCCTTCTGTTTCCGGCCGTTCCTAGTTCTGCATGTACATGCGTGAGGGAGGAGCTTTAGCATGTGCTGTTGGCTGGCAAAGCATCCCCCAAGCCTAAACCCGAAACCCCAAACCCTAAACGGTTGCGAAGACCTGTGGAGCACAGGAAGCCACATGGCGTGGCCGCAGCTACTCCCCTCTGCAGAACAACTGCGTGCACTTTGCTAGCGAGGCCGGGGGAGCCCGCAGATTCTTTTTTTTCGGTGTCGCGAAGTTTGGGGGGGCAGGGGGGGATGTTCCGTCAATAGCGAATACTGTTGGATAGATTTGCTGTTCGAGTTCTGACGCCTCACGCCTTGATTCCTTGATGTGTAAGAAGTGACGATGTCGCATCCAGCCGTAGGTGTGCCGGATGTTCAAGGTGCCAGAGCCTCCTCGATGGCTCAACCGCGCCTTGGCTGCGTGGAGCAGCGGTAGCTGCAACCACATGCATCACGTGACACAAGGCTCCTTTGCCTCACATAAACCTTAAACCCAAAACCGCAGGCAGTAGTTAGGGCAAGTAGTTCTCGCAGCTTCCCCCTAGTCCTGTCCAGTTCGGTTCTACCAGGGTTCCGATGTAGTCTGTCTGTCTGAAGTATGTACCGGGTTCAGGTTCGCATTGTTCAGTTGGTTTCCAACGGGTTTCCAGCGGGTTTAGTTTTTCAAGCCTTGACTGAGTTTTACATGTGCGATGCGGTGCACGTTGACCTGTTCAAACCTGAGACAAACTTTTGAGACACTTTCTAACTCCTCGATGGGATTGTTCAATACGTTTGAAAACCCCTGTCGGAATTGGTGTCTGGATTTGCGAGGCTTACGCGCTTCCGATCCCTTTCGAAACCATGTTTGGACTTGCGGCGCCTAAGCCATTAAACACGTTTCAAACAACCGTCCTTCCTTTGTTAGAGCTTGTTTGGTCCCCGCCGTTACTTAGTCTTTTTTCAATCCAATTGACACCATACTTCTTTAATCTTGCACAATTTTAACCAGGTTTTTTAAACACCCCTTCATCCCCCCTTAAAAACCATTCGTAGACCTTCCCTGACGCGCCATGCCCTTGAAACCTTATTCAAGAGCCTGTCAGCTTTTAGAGCTCTGTGAACCAAGGTGCAAAAAACTGGAAGCGTCGGAAGCATTGCCTTCCAACATGTGTTAACGAAGCGCGAAACGATTTTTTTGCCTGAAGGTTTTTCCCTCCGCTGGTTGTAAGTTTGCAAATGACAGACATGCAGGAAGTACGGTTTGTTGTGGGCAAGGGACTTGCATGGGGTGTTTGATGGCATGTGACAGCCCGGTGGTGCGACTTCTTTCAGGCATGGGTTTGTGAGGAATATATCCAGTTGCCGATCTGCCCGGCCAAATGCGTCAGGATTTCGGGGTAAGGCGACCTAGACCTTCAGCCCTAAACTCTAGACCCTAAACCCCAACCCTAAACCCCCTAAACAACAAACCCTAAACCCTAAGCCCCCTAAACCACCCCAAACCTCCAAACCCTAAATGAGACACTAAACCCCCTCAACAACCCAAACCCAAACTCCCATTTCGTGGCCATGGCTTGACTTACTGTTGATGATATAAATTCTGCAATACATTCAGGACCCACAGCTATGGGAATTGTGGTATATTCCTCATTATGGGTAATGCAAGAGGTATATCATCAACCCTAAACCGCAAACCCGAAACCCTCCAGATCCCTTGAAGGAACCCCTTAAAGGTACCCTTCTACACCCTTTTAAAGGAACCCCAGGATTTCTGTCATCAGCCGTATCTTCCTGAGGAGGCGCGGACCTGTTCTCACTGGCCGGGCAGGCAGGGCTACAGGGGCCTATAAAGTAACCTATAGGGTGCCTAGGGTTCCAGAAAATCGGTCTAGAAGGGTTACTATAAGGCATCGAGAGGTTTTGCAGATCCGTGTCTAGACTCTAGGCTTTAGGGGTTCGGGTTTTAGGGTTTAGGGGTTTAGGGGTTTAGGGGTTTAGGGTTTATGGTTTAGGGGTTTGGGGTTTAGGGGTTTAGGGGTTTGTTTAGGGCTTTAGGGTTTAGGGACTTGGACTTTAGGGTTTAGGATTCGGGGTCTTCGGGTTTAGGGTTCAAGGTTTCCCAGGTTTGAGGGTTCAGGGATTAGGTGTGAGGTATGTTTAGGTATTCGGCGGATTTAGGTTTTGGGTTTTGGGTTTGGGGTTGGGGGTTTGCGTCAGGAAGCATAGCGTTTTTGTGTCTCGTCCGTTGCCATTGAATTGAAAGTCGTCGCTTCGCGTGGGTTGTGGCAGTAGCTGCCTGCCGAATCAGTGAATCAACAGAGTGCTATTCCGAGAAGACACCGTTTGTCGGGTCTTGTCAGCAAGTCCTCGGCCCTCGTAGTTCAAGCCGAGCATCCAAGACATATCGGGAGCCCTGCTGCAGAAATTCCGACATACTAGGACTTGAACCGGACTCGATGTCAACGATGCTCTGTTTCGAGTCACTGCGCTGGCTGCCGGCGCCACCGCCAAGGTCCCCGTACCTGTGAGCCGCGCCATGACTGCAAGCTTCGACTGCCACCCTTGCTTGGAGGTTCATGGGTAGTTATAAGTAGGGTTATAAGTAGGGTAACTATTACCCAACGTGTATATAGATCGACAGATCGATGCACAGATACATCGAAAGGTCGATAGCTGGCCTAGGGGTCTTTTTTTCCCGCTGCCCGCTTTCAGACTTGCCACACCTCGAGCGTTGAGGGCTTTGGTAGGGTCTCGATCGATTGTGGTAAGCTAAGTTTAAGCGCCTTAAGAAGAGCTGAGGATGCTACCTACGGACTCGCTACGTATGTGGACATGGGCCTGAAGAGGGTTTAGGGTTTAGAGTTTAGGGTTTAGGGTTTAGGGTTTAGGGAATTTGCCGAGGTTGCAGCCACGAGCTTTGCTACTCACGAGATGTGAGGCGGTTGCGAGATGCAACTTGTCTGCAGTCCCTGGCCCAGATTGTGCCGCAGGTGCGATGCACTCAGGGTGGCAGTGCAGGGGCCAAGTCCTCAATTCAAGCAAGCATGTTTAAAGGCTTTTAACCTCGGTTTCCATCGAGCTGACAAGCAGCTTCTGCACGCGATTTCTTCGACAACTTGGCCTGGATAACACGTCCGGCCCGAATGCTGCTGCTAGAACAGGGCAAGGCTTTATACAAGAAAGCGTCCTGCTACTTCCAAAATCTGAGTGGCGTTTCTCTTTCCGGCATTGTGACTGCTTAGGGCATTCCTCGGAATTCCTGCCAGGTGCATTTTGCATGGTCTTGTTGAGGCAGTGTGCATGACCCTAAACTTATGCCGACCCTAAACCACAAACCCTAGATCCTACACCCAAACAAGCATTCCATTCTTGCAGTTGTTGTCTGTCCCGGTCTCGGTCTGTGTGGTCGGAGAACGGAGGGAAGCAGGAGTCCTTTCGAGCCCGAGGCTCCACAACACCCTGATTTTAAGGCCCCGAACTGACAAAGACCTGGGACCTGCTATGGGTCGAAGCATACATACATAAATACATACATACATACATACGAATCAAACTATATACATAAATATATGTGCACATGTACATATATCTGTGTATGTCCCTGGGTGTATATATGTATATTAAATATATGTATACAGATGTATGTTCATATTTGTATATGTATGCATATATATATATATATATGTTATTTCCTGGACACTGACACCTAATTCACCATAGAACCTAAACAGCACAGCTTCGCGCCTCTACCTCAATCCACAACGAGCGTTTTATATCCTTAAGCCCAAGGCTCGGTACCTTCACGAAGGGGCCCTGGCCCGGGGGTCAGCGTTCCAGGTTCAGGGTTTGGCAGTTTCTTATGTATGCATGTATACGCATAGGCATATGCATATGCATATGCAAATGTATATGAATATGTATATGTATATGTACAAATATGCTTACTTATGACATGTATGTATCTGTGCATATGTATCTGTACATATGTATGCATGCGTGTATGTGTTAAGGGCCGATTTAAACAAGTACAGTCGCCTACCCTCCTCCCCCTACACTTGCACTGGTTATGGCAAACCCTCAACGCAAACGTTTGGGGTTTAAGGACACCCGTCTTGAGCAGCCCCTATATCATGTACACATATGTAAAGCAAACAAACAGTATCTTTGTCTGTGTGTAGTTTTTCTGTTATAATGTGTATATATACATATATGTATATGTATATGTATATATATATATATATATATGTCTATACATGTGTATATATATATATATATATATATATATATATACACTATATGTATGTGTATGTGCACTGTACACATGTACACATGTGTATATATATATATATATATATATATACATACATATATATATATATACACGTATGTATATATATATATATGTATATACGTATGTATGTATGTATATATATATATATATACATATGTCGTATATACATATATATATATATACACACACTCGCAGCATTCCCTGATTCATCAGTATTGGGCTCTCTTGGTCGAGGCGGCAGCTTTTGTCTCTGTCGCATCTGTCGTCGCGTTGTTGCCAGGGCCTGAGGATGGTTTAGGGCTCAAGGTTAAGGGTTCAGGGTTTAGGGTTTAGGGTTTAGGGTTGAAAGGGTTCAGGGCTTAGGGTTCAGGGTTAAGGGTTCGGGGTTTAGGGTTGAGGATGCTGTCTGCAGGATCCCTCGGACGGAGTTGTTCAGAGTGGGTCGGGTTGGATAAGGTGTTTGCAGGTGTTTTGTAAGGTTTGTTATACGCTTTTGGAAGGCATTTCTAGGGCGTTGCATTTTTTTTGGAAAGGGGCTCCGTTATTCGAGGATCTCCGTCTTTTGTCGTGGCAGTGAAGGTGTCTTTTGTATTCGTAGTGTTGACTGAACTTAAGTTCCTTGCCAAGAATCCCGCTCGGGATCTTTCCTCGCCATACTTGAGATGAGCAAACTATATGGGCATGAACGATTGCCCCAATCCACAACGAGCATTTCATATCCTTAAGCTTAAGTTCCTTGCCCGGGATCAGCAAAATGTATGGGTATGAACGATTGCCGATGTTATTCCTTGCATCGGTTGTTTGCTAAGATGTATCCCAAAAGAGTCAACCAGTGCCAGTGAGTGGAACAATCCTGTCAATTAGTAGTACAGTGGCTGGGGGAAGTTCCAAATGACCGCGGCACATTCCCCACTGTGTGAGTGCTTCTTCATGCCATAGGCCCTGAAACCTGCGCTTGAACCCTAAACCGTCAACTCTTTCCCAGAAACCCTACATCTTCAACCCCGAAATCCTAAGCCCTGTCACACACTCGTCCGCCTTGCAGGAGCTTGACGTTTGAGAGCGGCTGCCCCTGAAAGGCCGTCTAGTAAATAGAACACACACATATATATATATATGTATATATATATATATATATGTATGTATGTATGTATGTATGTATGCATTCATAAGCAAATAAACAGCCGCAAATAAATAAGTGTGCTGTGTATACATGTGCATATGTGTAATTACATACATATATATATATATATATATATATATATATAACACATTTGTTTCTAGGCGGTTCGGTGGAGTATTGTGTACTAAGCAGGATGATCAAACACTGTTGTGTGGTACCTGCGCTTGGTTGGGCACAGGACTGCCAGACCCCTGTATGAACAGGTCAACCCGTAAGCCCCGAATCGTTAAGGGTTTATAGTTTATTTTTAAGGAGCAGACTGCTACCTCTAAGCCTTAGGATTAGGCCCTAAAGGGTTCAAGGTTTAGACTTCGGGCTTCAGGGTTTTTCGGGTTATCGTGGACCCCTAACTCATAAACCCCGAAGCCCGGAGCCGACCAAGCCTTCCGTTTGTAAGTATTGTTTTGCTTTCCGCGTCCTCGGTGCTATCACTACAATGCAAGCCTTGTGTCTACAGTTGCTCTAATTTGGGCTTTAGACTTTGGGGTTTAGATTCCAAGGTAGCCTTTTACTTTCACCCCCTGTCTCTTGGTGTTCCTGATGAAAACTGCTAGGAAGAAGGTTGAAGTGGGCACGGGGGGACCAAGGTGATGCTTGTGGTAGTATTAGCATTAACGTGTTGATTTTAATAGTTTCAACACATATTTCTTTCCGTATTATGATCAAGCCAAAGCATTTTCATATATCTTCATCTTTGCATATTGGTATATACATTTCAATGCTTCTTTATCATGGTTTTTCACCGTGATTCCCGGAGCTACAGTGAACCGCACCATCGCAGTGAAAGCACCTCTTGGCTTTGCTGCTGCCCATTGGCTCCTGCAGGTCTTAGCCGGGGCACGTTTTCAAGACCAGGTGCACTCCGGAAAAGATGGCGGGCCCCTTCCAGAAGCTTCAACTGAAGCCTGGCATGAAACTCAGCGTGTCGGATGCTGGGTGCGTGTTTAGGAACTGAATTTCTCTTTGTTTCTTGTCGTTTTACCTCCCTAAAGTACAAATCCATGGCATCATAAGCTACATCGTGTTCGTCTGAGCCTGAACTCTGCCAAAGCCTAGAAAGCCCCAAACCCCAATCCCCGCAGCCAGAACCCCCTTATCCCAACCTTGCGCTAAACCCTAATCCCTAAACCCTAAACCCTTGAACCCCAAGCCAAATCCCCAAACCCTAAACCCTAAACCCTAAACCCTTTCTTTCACAAGCACCAGGGTGCTCCTCCGGAGTTCATGAAGCTGAAGCAGGACCTTCTGAAAAAGGCAGGGGCGGCCAAGAAAGATATGCCACCTGCCGCTCTGTACCCAGGTTACTGACAAAGATCTTGATGTTCGGCTAGAAGAGCTTCCATTTTGTTTTCTTCTGACGCTCTGTCCCTTTATGATACCTTACTTTTACTTCCGTACAAGATCCCAGGTATTTTGTGAAGAGCTGCAAGGAAATAGACAAGCTGGCAAAGTCGGCGGTGCGGAAAGCGGGCCAGGATGGAATACTCTGGATCGCTTATCCCAAGAAGACTTCGAAGAAATATGCGTCTGATGCTGGGCTGTTGTTCCGGAAACGCTGTTTTTTGCTGCAGATAAAACATAAACGCTAACCCCGAAGCCCTACAGTAGAAGCCCAAAAGTTGGACACCCAATAGCCTCAATCCTTAAAAGTAGTGTATAGGGAATCCCAGCTAATCCTAAACCCTAAACTCGTGAGCAGAATTCCCGAACAGAAGCCGAGGATGTGGGCAGAGATGGAAGTTTCAAAGCCTTCGGCAAGTTCAACTTCGAACAGGTCCGGCTCATCGCCCTGGACGCAGATCCTTAGGGCCTGGGTAGGTAACCTTTTTACTGTTTTGGGCACGTAAATTCGTACCAAAGTTAGAAAGGGGAACTTTCCCTTCTTGGGTATATCCGTATATGCATATATACATATGCACACAGGCGCAAACAATCAACATGTACAGATGTAGCTACACACCCACCCACATATATATATATATATATATGCACACATCATATACAAATCTATGCACCCTTGCCAGAATTACAAAGGTTGACCCTGTCTGGGCTAGGGTATTCATCCGCTCAGGATTGGAGCGCCATGCGCCTCCGTGCCGTGGGGAAGATTAAAAACATGACCCGCAATAAGGCGATCTGCCTCTCCGATGCTGGCAAGCGCAAGGTGGCTAGACATCTTTTTTCATAGGGTTTAGGGTTTAGGGGTTTAGGGGTTTAGGGGTTTAGGGGTCTAGGGTTTAGGGTTTAGGGTTCTGCCTCTCCAATGCTGGCAAGCGCAAGGTGGCCACCACAAAGACGGGGAGGACAGCGATGAAATCGGTGCGGAAAACGGCCATGAAGAAGTCGTAGGATGCTGTGCACCTTCGGAGGGTCTGTTCCGACAAGGGATCTTGTCAATTCTCCCAGCACGGGAAGTTTCGGCTGTTGCTCAGCTGATCAGCATTTGAAAGCCTTTCCTGGTCATGGGCGCGCCATGACGCAGTTATGAGGGGCTCTCCACGAGAGGTTTGAGCCTGCAGTCGGAATAACGACCTGGAGCGTGTGATGGCATTTTCCGGAAGTGTAAAATTATGCAGCAGTACCGAAACCTTCTTGCCGCAAAAGCTTAAAGCGAAAGGAATTTCTGCTTCTTCCAGGTCTGGTGACTTGTGCATGATGTCTGCATGGTTTAAGGTGTGAATGTCCAAATTGACTTGGGAGTCCATCATCAATGATTCTTGAACGGGAGGGCCACGTTACAGCGTATCCAAACCAACACCTCAACCTAAGATTCAATCACCGCGGGGCTCGAATGCTGCCCACAATCGCGAGGCAGACACGATTCCCGAACAATTAGTGCTAATATCCCCTTGTAGTCCGTGTGGATAATGGGCCCCAACAGCCTATAGTTTTTGTTCTGGTCACTGTAGGAGGGGGTGGGAGACTCTATGCATGCCTGTGCTCGAAGCTCAGCAGCCTCATGATCAGTAGACGCCTTCAGGCTAGCAGCGACTCTTGGAAGAAGCTTCCCAGCTGAGCTTATGTTCCTGCAGACTAAAGCAATTTCGGGTGAAATGTAGGGGTCTTAACGATTACCAACACCATTTTTGGGGTTCCTTCTAAGGCACCAAAAGCCTATTCTGATTATCAAGGCCCCCATATTAGCTGTTAAGGGTCTTCTTCCAGCCTCCCCTTGGCCGGTGCAATGATCGAGAAAAAGAGTCGCTCGTACCGTGCTGCAAGCCGCACCTTCGAGACTAGGTCGAGGAGCCACCTTGGAGACAGCCCCGTTTTCGGGTCCTGGAGACAGGATGTCGATGCCAATGTTGCAACGGGGATGTCTGGCATATTCCAGGATGCTGGGTTCTGTTTAAGGATTTCAATTCTAAGTTGCCGCAACAGGGAGTTATAGAAACAGTATGGTTTCCTTATTATCCCGAAACCCGAAACCCTGAACATTGAACCCTAAACCCTAAAACCCTAAAACCCTATAAACCCTAAAACCCCTAACCCCTAAAACCCTAAACCTCTAAACCTTAAGGCACTAAAACCCCAAAACCCAAAACCCTACAACCCTAAAGCCTTAAACCCTGACTTAAGTTAAACCCGTTAAGCTTAACACCCTTAGTCCGAAACCCTAAACCCTTAGTTTCAAACCCAAAACCCTAAGCCCTGACTTAAGTTTCATCCATAGTCCCCTTAGGAACTATTTGTTGGTTTTTTCATATAGAACCCAGAGAATATTACAGCATTTTTTTTATTATGGTTCTAGGGGGGCTAAAGAAATCCCTTAAGAAGAGCAGAGGATGAGAGGAGCCGGGACGAAGGCGAGTCTTCCGGGAGCGAGTCCGAGACGGAGGACACCCACTTTTGCGGGTCTTTAAAAAGGGTTCTAGAGGGGTCCCTTTAAAGGGACCCTTAAATGGCTTCTTAGGGTTTTGGGTTTAGGGTTTAGGGTTCTATATATTGGCTACTATAAGGATACTACCACAGAATTTCGACACCCAAACTAAACGAAACACATCCTAAACCTGGGTTCTTGTGAAGGGATTTGATTTAAGTTGCCATAGCAGGGATCTTTTGTAAATAAACTGGTTTCCTTATCATTGTTATTCAAATAAAAATCCCTTCACAAGAGCCCAGAAACCCACGTCCTAAATCCTACATCCTAAGCTGCCTTACACCCTAAACCCTGAACAGCCTCAAAGAGTACGCCCTAAACCCTAAAGACTCAAAGCCTGCACCCTAAACCCAAAACCTAAAGTAGAGCTTTTAGGCCCTCACCAGAAAGCCTTAGCAGTTTTTTTCTCCCCTTTTTTTTGTTTGAGGAGGTGCCTGAAGTCCAAGAGAACGGCGGCCTGCGCGAGTGGGCGCCGAAGCTTTATGCCTGGCTCGCCCCGAGGGTGGGTACACGAGAGAGATTCTGGGGCTCTTGTTTAGGAGCTTTTAGGGTTTTAGGGTACAGGGTTTAGGGGTTGTAACATTTTAGGGTTTAGGGTTGAGCTTTTCGGGTTTAGGGCCGTTTCGGGTTCAGGGTCTAGGAGCTTGGGCTGGCCAAAATCGGGTTCTAGGCGCAAGAGTGAAGGCATATGCTTGCCTGTGTCTAAGGCAACGTACATCAGCTTTCACTGAACCCTGAACCCCACACAACCCCTCAACCCAAAACTTTAAAGCTTAAATCCTAAACCCTCAAGCCCAGGGTACATAGGCATTGTTTAGCAGCGACAATCTCCACCAAAGTTGCCACGAATCAATATCAACTGAGCAAAAGCAAAATTCGGAGTGCACCGCACGCATGATTTCCACTTCGTTAGTTCACGTGCTGGTTGGTTGTGTAGATGTAGCATGCATCTGAAGATGCACTCCCGAGACGCGGCATGGGGGCGAGGGCCGCGAGGGGTTGTGCTGCTTCTTGAGTTTTGTGCTAAGATGGCAAAGTTGTCTGTCAAAAAAAGAGCAAAAGCAAAAAGCAAAACCCGCCCACAACCGCATATTGAACCGAGCAAAATCAAAAAACAACATCCGCCCAAAACCCGCACAAAACTCAGGACCTGAACCCTGAACAATTTCCAGCTGTAAACCCGAAACCTCTGAACCAGAGCTCAGGATTTGCCGTGATGTTTACTTTCGCCTTGCTGGAGGGCGCCAAGCAGCGAACCTGGGAGTTTGCCGGGCACGAGGTGAACTACTTGTCCATCGAGGTCATGGCTTCGGTGGTATCGCTGATCATCGCATTGTGCATATCTGTCTTCATGGAGGGAAAGTGGGTCGCAAGCTTAGCTCATGGGTTTCACGTCGGGCTGGCTTTTGAGTGGGCTTTGTTGTCTCGATTCAGCGGTAGTGGAGGTTTTCAGTCGTAAACGGTTTAACCTCAGTGTCCAAGAGGACCCCGTCTCTCATCCAAGGTTTCCTTTGGGCGAATCGGGTCTGCACTTTCAACTTGAGTAGCCCCTAAACAAACCCTAAACCCTAAACCCTAAACCCTAAACCGTGAATGTGTCTAGGTGACCCTAAACCCTTAGCCTCGTTGATCGATCTGCAGTGACGATGTACGTGAGGAGCCCTGCATCCCCACCGCATATGGGGGTTTCCGAAAATTAAGGGGTACCTTATATTAAGGATCCTACTATGTTGGGGTCCCCTTTTGAGGATTATATGGGAGTTTCCGAATATTAGGGGTACCTGATTTTGGGCACCTTATATTAAGGATCCTACTATCTACGGTACTATGTTGGGGTCCCCTATTTTCGGAAGCCCCGCATTTCCTGCATTTGGAGGTTTGTCAGGGCGGTCCCGAGGGTTGCTCAATGTAATGCAACCTGCTCTTTGCCCTAAACCCTGAACCCGGAACCCTGAACCTTGAACGCTAAACCCTAAACCCACCGAGCCGTAAATCCTGAACCCCGAAGCCCTGAACCCCTAAACCCCCAAATCCTAAATCCCTGAATCCCTAAACCCCTGAACCCTAAACCCTTGAACCCCTAAACCCTACATCCCTAAAACCCTAAACTCCTAAACCCTAAATCCCTAAACCCTAAATCCCTAAACCCTAAACCCCGAACCCTAAACCCAGGGACTGGTGCGGATCTTCTCACTTCGCGCTCTCTGTCGCTGGAGCTTCGTTGGGCTTCTCTATTCATTGAAGACACTAGGCGGCAGTTTTGGGTGTTTTTTTGAACATGTCCCATTATGGATCCTATGGACATACCCTAAACCCTAAGCCCCCTAATTTTAGACTATACTTTCCAGGGCCCCGAAACTACAACCAAGGACCGTTCTTCTCACAGTCACGGTGGAGTCAGGCTTGCACAACGTGACACTCGGTCGGCAGTCTCCTGTAATTAGTGTAAACTTAGGGCTTACGGGTTTAGGGTTTAGGGATTAGAGTTTAGGGTTTAGGGCTTAGGGTTTGCTCTTTTCAGCAGTGTACTTCTGATTGGCCAAACCTCCCACATGGAAGCGCTACCGAGGATTTACAGGATGATGGACAACCTCTACGTCATTGTCGCTGCTGTGGTGAGCTTCTTTGTTTTCAACAGACTCTACGGCAAGCTGGAGTGGCTGTCGCTGTCCATGTTGATTTTCTCCGCACCGGCTTTCTTCATCATGCGAGAGAGGTGCCACCTGAACTTTTGTAACATCTTCACCTTTCAGCATCGGGAGGAAAATTTCGCTGGGATGTTAGCTGCCATTTGTGCCATCTCGCTGGGTGCCGTGGCGTCGGTTCTAGCCGAGCGGATTTTCAAAAACCGATACAGAGGCCGCCTGGCAGGTCGTGACGATGGCACCATGCATGGCAGGTGTCTGGACCTTTTCTGGGTTTAGGGTTTGGGGTTTGGGTTTAGGATTGAGGGTTTAGGGTTTAGGATTTAGGATTTAGGGTCTAGGGTTTAGGGCGGAGTTGCATTTCGGAGCGTGCCAACTTCCAAGCACTCTACTTGAAGGATCATGGGGCTTGTTCAGGCGATTATGGTTCTGGTTTTTGATACGTCCCCCTGAGCTTGCGAGTGCACGGTCCTGAGGGCTTTCACCAAAACCCTAAACCCCAAACCCTGTTTCAGGTATTACATTCATAGGGTGCACCTGGACTTGGTGTGCTCCGTGCTGGGTGTGGCCGTCTGGATTGCGCAGTCTCTTTTCTCAAAGAGTGGGTTTGTGGATGTTTGGAGTAAGCAGCTGGTGGGATTCGGATCTCGAGTTGAGGTTTAGCGTTTACGGGTTTAGGGGTTTGGGGTGCAGGATTTAGGGTCTAGGGTGTAAGGTGTCAGTGATATGATGCGTTGAATGTAGGGGCCGTAAAGATTACCATTGCCATACTATTTTGGAGGTTCCCGCTCATAGTATTTGCATAATATACCCCCCAACCCTATTCTAATTATACTAGGGTTCAGTTATGAATCAAGGTTGGATTCTTGGTGAGCTCAAAGAATCGGTCCATCAAGCACTTGTGCTATGATACTAGTTGCTAAGTACTGGTGTGCCACTAGTGGGGTTTGTCTGTTTCACGGAAATCCTACTAAACCCTATGTGAGGACTTACGTTTGCATTTTTTTTTGCGTCATGCGTTTCCTTGCTGATAAGTCGCCCCAAGGCGGAAGACCAAGCTAGACTCGGTCGGGGCTCTGCTTATTTCTAGGGATCAGACTGCAGGTACCTCCTCAACGATGGCGAGTGGGGCTCTAGGACGGATGTAATGTTCGGCGAATGGAGCCGAATTCACGTCGTGCTGCTCTCTCTGACAGTCGGACAGATGTGGTGGGCGGGGCTTGTCGTAAAGAACTTCTCGACGGTCACCAAGTCACTCATCCAGACAGTCTTCGGTGTTCTGAGCGTGTGCATCGTGGACCCGATCGTGGGGATTACTCTGGGGCGCAACTGGAGCATTCGATCCATTCCATCAATCTTGATTGCCATCTTTGTCGTCATCTGTGCCGTCCTGTTCCAGACAGGGAGGTTGAACCACGGCTGCTGTTTGAGTAGCCTTCAGTTTCAACCTAGTATACAGTATACTGCTTTCTAAGTGCACAGAAGCCTTACTTGTACAGAAAGGGGCCTCAAATTCCCTAAACCCTAAACCTCTTAAGCTGCAACCCTAAACCCCTAAACCCTAAACCCTGAAGCCAAACCCTAGACCCTGAACCCGAACCCCTAAAGCACAGGAATGTGAAGTTCCTCTGGAAGAACGCCGGGCTGACCCCGAAGCGAGAGTACGGTGGCCTTCAAGCCTGCAAGCAGAAGCTTACTTACGAATGGGAGCATTTAGGGTTTTAGGTTTTAGGGGTTTAGGGTGTAGGGTTTAGGAGAATTTGAGACAATTTGGGCCTTATATATTTGGTCTATCTTTTGGACAGTTTGAGCTTTCTTTTCTGGGCCTTCTGTAATTGGCTTAAACCCTTTTGCCTAAACCGTAATCCCTGTAGTAGTCCCTAAACTTTAAAGTCTAGTCCCTAGTCCCTAAACCCTAGTCAAAAAAACTCTAAACTCTACATCCCTGAGCCCAAACCGTGAGGATGTTCTGCAAGCGTGCTCCCGAACCCGAGGTCACTCTTTCGGGCCTTTGGGGTTCTGGGTTCATCTGGTTTTGGGTTTAGGGGCATGTAGGTTTGGGGTTTGGGTATGGGGCTTGGGGTTTAGAGTTTGGCGTTCAGGAAAGTTTATGGTTTAGGGTTTTGTTGGAAGTTGCTAGATGCGATTGAAACGGGCCGACGCAGCTCCCTGAGAGGACACTGCGGACTCTCCCCCGGAAGCCTGTGCTTTCCTGAAGTATTCTCTACCGGCGCCGGGCTCAGGGGTTTAGGGTAATTGAGGGGTGCAGGGTGTAGGGGTTTAGGGTTTGGGGTGTAGGGGTGTAGGTTAGGGGTTAAGGGTAATTTCGGGGCTCCAAGCGTCGGGGTTCAAAGCCCCGCGAGTAAAGCCATGTGAGAGTTTCCGAAAATTAGGGGTACCTTATTTTGGTGTCCTTATAATAAGGATCCCACTGTGTAGGGTACCATATGAGGGTCCCCTATTGTCGGAAACTCCCATGTGAGTGACTGCCCGAGTTCTTCTACGTCATCTCCAACGCTTTGCAGACGGAGTTTCAGTCTCTCAGCAGCACCGGCCTCCCTTAGGTCGGCTGTCGGGTTCCCAGGTTTTCTTTTTTGAAGCGGGTTTGATAAGGGTGATAAGGGTTTGAGAAGCCTTAAACCCTGAGCCTTAAATGCTACTAAACCCTACACCCTAGGCCCTAAACCCTGACCCTTTTCTGAGGGTTTGGTAATTCCAGGTTTCAGGTGTGGGCTTCAGGGTCCAGGGTTGGGCGGTTTGGGTTCGTAGTTCGGATTTGGGGTTCGTGGTATAGTTATCATAGGAGCCTACACAATTAGCAATACTATTTATTGCGTCCCTCTTCCAAGTAGAGTACAATGGGCCCCAAAAGCCTAGTCTATTTATTAAGGCCCCTACAATAGGCGACATTCATTGTCGACCTCGCAGTGCTATTCGTTTAGTAACACCTAAGCATCCAACTGCCAAGCCCCTAATCCTACAGTCCTAAATCCTAACCCCTAAGCCCTGAACCCTAAAATCCCTCACGTAAGCATCAACAGCCAAGCCGTGAAATCTTCAAACCTAAGACGCTCTCAAGCCTAAGCCGCATTGAACCCCCAAACCCTAAACCCTGAACTTTAAACACCAAACTTAAAACCCTAAACCCTAACCTCTAAGCTTTAGAAGTGTCAAACCTTAGACTCTAAAACCCTAAGCGCTAAACTTGAACAGCATACATAGAAATTGTCAGAATTTCGCCAAAGTGCATCTTCGCTAGTTTCGAGTTTTCATTAAACATGTGCGAGGAAACCCGGCCCAACGCCAAGCCGCGCCAGTCCCCCCCCATCCGCTCCAGGCAGGCAACCCCAGGCCAGCTCAAAGACATGGTAATTTAGGTTTCTAAAATGGGGTCCCCCATATGAGTGGTTCTGTAAATTGGGTTCCTTCGTGAGGTCCCCAAAATAGCACGGCGGTCTTCTAAACAGGACCCTCAAGATGACCCTAATCTAGAGAACTGCTCATGCATGCTCCTACGTGCCCTTTCAGAGCCCTAAGCCCAAAGCCACACAAAACCTTTTGAAGCCCAGAAGGCCTTATGAAGCCTTAAATCTTAAACCTAAACCCTAGACCGTGAACTCTACAGAATCTTCACAAATAACCTGCGAATCCCTAAATCCTACCCTGAACCCTAAACCGCAAACCCTAGAAGACGCGCTCCGAGGAACGATGTGTCGGCCAACCGCTACTTCGTGCCGCAGTCGCTGCAACTGGGCTCTGATAGTTAGCATAAGTTACCGCTTAGGGTTCCTAGAAGTGCTCAAAAAGAAGGGTTTTGGGTTTAAGAAAATTAGTAGGATTTAGGGTTTAGGGCAGCTTAGGGTGTAGGGTTCAGGCTTTAGGGTTTAGGATATTGGGGCTCAGTGTCAAAAGCCTCAAAGAGTGGGACCGGGGTAGGTGTGGGGTATCCCACATAAGAGTTCTCATATCTGGCCTGGCTAAGTTACCATACTTCACGGGATTTGCACGTTTATGTGCAGAGTTAAGGAATCAAAGTTTCAGTTTAAATTAATGACATGTCAAAAAAAGGCTTGTGTATATTATGATACATACGCATACGCGTGCATACTTGCATGGAAGATACGTACATACACATCTACATATGTACGTACAGACAGATGGATAGATGGATCGACGGATGGATGGACGGATGGATGGATGGATGGATGGATAGATGGATGGATAGATGGATGGATGGATAGATGGATGGATAGATGGTTAGATGGATGGATCGATGGTTAGATTGATCGATGGATAGGTGGATAGACGGATCGATGGAAGGATGGATAGATGGAAGGGTGGATAGATGGCTAGATGGACAGATGGCTAGAATCCATGGGGTCTCACTATAACAGACGCAGGCAGCAAATAATATTTTATCTGGTTTCCTTATGTTGGTATCTGAAGTCAAGTCCATTCTGAATAAACCAGGCAAGTGGGCATTCCCTTCTGTGGCATGTGCCTGGCCTGCGTGCTCACGGTCAGCACTTATGGTGACTTGGACTCGACAGAAGCCATAGAAACGATGTGGCAGCTAGACACAATTCCTTCCTAAGCTCCAGAACCAGAATCTTAGGGTTTAGGATGAAGGGTTTAGGGTTACCAGAAACCCTAAGCCCTAAAACCCTGAACCCCAAACCCTGAAGATTGCACACCCTAAGTCAGAAGCTTGACATCGGAGTGATTGTGGGCTTTCCGATCGAAATCAAAGTCGCCCCGTGCAAGACAGGGGTTTTAGGGCTTAGGGTTATATAATATAGGGGCCTCAATAATTTCCAATACTATTTTGGGGGTTCCTTATTATAAATACCCTATAATTGGCCCCAAAGCCCTATTCTAATTATTACGGCTCGTTTATGATAAGCTGCAGAGTGGGTCCTTTGTAGGGTTCCTTCACAGGGCCTTCACAAGGCTCTTGTCGTTTGATATCGGTTGCAAACATCTGCGTTCCTGGCCCTTCCCGAGCCCCAAACCCCCTAAACCCTAAAGCCTAAACCCAATCCCTCCAAAGCCCCTGGCACCGCTAAGCTTACAAGACACCACGCAAGCCCCCGCAAAGCCCTAAACCCTTAAACCCTCAAGCCCTCACCCTGAACCCTGAAACCCAAAAAAAAGCCCAAAGAAGCCCTCACCCTAAAAAAGCATAAAGATACCGAGCACCCAAAGAAGGCCAACGAAGCCCGGATCTCCAAGGCCCCAAAGCACTCAACTCCAAACCCCGAAACTGCCTATGAGTTGAACATTCGTATCCTCATGCCCTTCAGGTAAAGTCTAAGGGATCCTAGCACTACTCCTCCTAAGCCCATGTTCCAACTTTTCTGGGATTCGCTATGAAGCCTTCTCAAAAATCTGCCAAGGCTTCGCCGGGCTCCGAGAGGTTCGGTGGGTCTTGAAAGACGTCCCCAAAAGCCCCCGAAGTTTTCGGGGTTCTTACCCAGAGCCTCCAAAACCCCGAATACACCTGACATCTATTTTAATTTAATGTATATTCCTTTATCAGAGGGTTTTGGAGGCTCTGGGTCGGGTCGGGCTTAGGGGTTCAATCAGGGTTTTGTCAATCTTGTCGGGGTTAACAAGATTTTTTTGTTTGAACCTGGTTTTGGAACTACTACGGTTGATGATATAAATCCTGCATTACCCATAATAAGGAATATGTTGGAAGTATGGTAAATTCCTTATTATGGGTCATGCAGGATTTATATATCATCAACACTAGAAGCCCTATACCTCAAACTAGCCCGAAGAAGCTTGCAAGAATCCTGGAGTCGCCCTCACCGGCTAAGAGAAGCCCTAGAAAAGCCCTAATCTCTGACCTAATATAGTCTCCATTGTAGTTCCTTTTTTTGGTTAGCCAACCACTCTATTATAGGTTCCTAACCATAAAACTGGCGAACCAAAAAAAGGAACTACAAAGGAGACTATAGGTAGCCCTCGAAGCTCGAAGCACTAAACCCTACGCCCTAAACCCTACTCCCTGTCTCGAAATGAGACTTTCGCTGGGAGCAGACGGAAAAGAAGCCCCTTAAAAAAAGAAAAAAACCCTACACCCTGTGAGGCCTTGAACCCCTGCAGCTTGCCGAAATTCTTCGCCCTGGGCTTCCTCCAGTCGGCTTCCGGCGCGCTATCGGGCCTAGCCATGGCTATCGGCATCAACGCGTCGCTCAAGGAGGCCTTTACTTGGAGGATCATGGGACTTAGTAACTATAGGGCTATAATTAATCATTAAGGTAACTAAGTATACTTATAATTACTCATAACCCCAATTAAGGTACTTATACCCTAACTTACTAAGTCCCCTGATCCTCCAAGTAGGGGCTTCACTCCTAATAATCTAGGACCCAGCGTAGGCCCTTATTCCCTTTTTTAAGGTTTAGGTACCCCGATAACCCCTGTAAGCCGAAATGGGGCCCCTATTTCTTCCTGGGTCTAGTAATGTCGGGGCTTTTAATAACTACCAATACTATTTTGGGGGTTCCTTTATATATTTATAGTATACTGGGCCCCGAAACCCTATTCTGATCATTAAGGCTCCTATATTAGGGGCTCCATCTAAAGGGAACCTTTTGAAGGCACCCAACAGTAAACTTAAAGGGAACCCTATTATAAAACCGTACAGTATCCTTTTTCAACGAACCCTATAACACCCCTGACCGGGGGCCTTTTAAGGGTTCCTATTGAGGGTTCCTATGAAGGGTTCCTATCAAGGGTCTCTATGAGGAGCGCAGAGTTGAGGACAGACCTGACCTGGCCGTACGTTACGTAACCTAACCTTACCTAACGTGATCTTTCTGTACCTTACTGGACCTAAACAATCCTACCTTATCTTGCCGTGCTTGGAACTGGCACTGCATCAACATCACAGTACATCCGTCATCCATTCTATGCTCCGTGATGTGATCTGATACTTCTCTTGTCGTTGTCCTTCTTGTGAGGCCATGGGAAAGATCTACACTCCCTTGGCCATGGTTTTGGGACGTTTGATCTTGAAGCAGCTATCTCGCGATTTGAGGGTGGGGGCTTGAGGTTTTTACAGGGTTTGGTGTTTCGATGTAGGCATTACGGTTTGAGGATTAACGCATATTGTAGGCAAAATGGTATCCTTTTTTCTGGAGGGCTTATTGGGGCACCCTAAACCCCAAACCGAGGCACAGCTACGCTTGGATTGAGTGGCTGTCGCACACGGCCTCCTTCGATGCTGCTGTCATCCTAGCCTTCATGGATGCCACCGTTGCAAATCACCGCCCTGGAAGAGACCAGGTCTGGAAATTGCAGTTGTGGAAGTCCTGACAGAAAAGTGAGTTGTACTATCTTAAGATAGATAGATATATATATATATATAATATGTACACATATTCCTTCTTGCGGACACTTAAACTCCATTGCTTCCCATATCTCCCTAACATCCCTAAACGCTAAACCCTACACCCCCTGAAACCCTAAATCCTAAGCCCTAAGCCCTGAAACTCTGGAGCCCAGGAAGCTCACATGTGAGTGCTATCTTCTGCGTGGCCGCATCGGCCTCGGTGTCCTGTATCAACTCCGTGCCCGGGCGGGGGTTTAGGATTTGGGGTTTAGGGTTCAGGGTTTGGGGTTTAGAAGCCTAAGTAATTGGCAAAATTATTCCTGAGGGTTCCGCATTATAAGTATATTGTAAAGAGGCCCACTCAAAAACCTTATTTCTAACTATTAAGGCCCCTATCATAGTACCCTTACAGATCCCTTATAGACCCCTTTAAAGGACCCTTTACAGTAAAGGCACCCTGTTCTAATTGTAAAGGCCGCTACATTGCGGCTTACAGTTTGGGGTTCAGCTTAAGGTTTGGGGTCTAGGTTTTCAAGTCCAGGGTTTAGGGCTTGGGGTTTAGGGTTTAGGGTTTAGAATTCAGGGCAGGTTTGGGGTTTAGAATTCAAGGTACCGAGGAGTTAGGAATTGTAGTATCGCGTACTATATGAGGCATGATACTCGGGGTTCATGGCAAGTAGTATGCTCTTCCTCACTAAGTAGATTGCTTTACACAAAGAATCTCAGGATTAAGGCCCCTATCATAGTACTGCTTATAGACCCCCAAAAGGACCCTTTAAAGGAACCCGCAAAGAAACTCAGGTGATCATGGAGCTGGCACTTCAGAATACCACGACGCCTTTCATCATCAACAAGGCGCGGCTCTGGCGGCTTAATATAGACACTTCTATTCCGAGGGTATTGGGTTTAGGATCTCGGGTTTTAGGTGTAGGGTTTAGGGTTTTAGGTAGAGGGTTTAGGGTTTTAGGTGTAGGGTTTAGGGTTTTAGGTACAGAGTTTAGGGTTTTAGGTTTAAGGTTTAGGGCTTCAGGTATAGGGATTATGGATCATACAAGCATTCTGCAATGGCCCAAACACCCTGTTCTGATTGTCAAGGCCCCCACGGTTGATGATATAAACCCTGCATTACCCATAATAGGGAATACATCAGCAGGATGAAAGTTTTGTCGCACTAAGATGTCTTGGCTTGGCGGAGGACTCGGAGTACGAAGAAGTTCATTTTACGTGGCCTGGCTAGCGGAGGAATTTCCATGCCAAAATGAACATACACTGTTTTTTTGTTCCGACGGAGGAAGTAGTGACGTCCTTGCCTGACATCGCGACTTCTTGAAGGAGCCTATGGGGGAAAGGGGCTTGCAAGTATGTGTTAGCAGACCTACCGGATGCGACGAACTTTCGTCCTGGCGCAGTATGCCATAATTCGCATAGTTTAGGGTTCCTAAGGTAATGCAGGGTTTATATCATCAACCCTAAACCGTATACCCCCTATAGATCCCTTAAAGGAACCCCTTAAAGGCACCCTTCTACATCCTTCAAAGGAACCCCCCAGGATTTCTGTCATCAGCCGTACCTCACGGATCGGGCCTGTGGATGCGAGGTTGAAAGCGTAGGGCTTGGGGTCAAGGGTAACCCTAAACCCTAAACCCTAAACCCTAGGATGCAGTCGGAAAAGGGCCCGCAAAAAAAAAAAAAAAACCTAAGGTTTAGGGGTTTAGGGTTTAGGTTTTAGATTAGGGTCTCCTGTAGGGGGCTCAAATACTGTTGATGATAGAAATCCTGGGCTCCTTTGAAGGATGTATAAGGGTCCCTTTAAGGGGCTCCTTTACGGGATATATGGTCAGGCGTCTGGCGTTCCCAGCCCCCCCCCCCCCCCCAATGGTATGGTCTGATAGGGGTGGGGGGGGGGGGCTGGCGTGTGCGGAAAGGGGTTGGGGCCGTTGGAGCTGCCACTGCATGGTGGTTGTGCTGGCGGCCAGGGCTCACGCGCAAGCCCTTCGCAACAACCCTAAACCCCACCTAACTGCAGGCTCTAAGCCTAAAGCAGAGCATACACCGCAAATCCTGCCTAAGCCCTTGTCGACTAGAAGCCTTATACCTTGTAACCGTAAACCCAAAACTCAAAAGCTTAAGCTCAACCCTAAACCCCAAAACCCCACAACCACCCCACAGGGAGGAGGAGGAACCCCACACCCCAGGCCCACCCTATATCCGGACCATTGACCTTTGGGGGGGAGGGGGGGGGGGGCGGCGGAGCGCGTGACCATATATAGGGGTTTTCGGGTTTGACCCTGAACCCTAAACTCTAAACCCTAAACCCTAAACTCTGAACCCAAAACCCTAAACCTTAGAGCCTTGAGGTTGGGGGTTTGAGGGCCTGAGGTTTTGATGGGCTGGGGTTCGGGGTTTAGGCTTCCGGGTTGACGCGTAGGGCTCATCACTAACCGCGGCTTCATCGCAGACGCAGGAGTTTGGGGCTTTCGGGTTCAGGGTTTACGGGTTTAGGGGTGTAGGAGTTGAGGAGTTTGAGGGGCGTTTAAGGGGCTTTTAGGGGGGTTTAGGGGGGTTTAGGGGGGTCTAGGGGGGGGTTCCTCTGACAGCCTGCTGTGCCGAAGTTCCCAAGATCGAGCCCGGATCTCTCAGCCCCAGCACCCGAGAATCATCGAACATCCCTGTCTTCAACTCGCGCAGACCCTAAGCTTTAGCGTCGTTAGGCCCAGAGCCCCTGAGCTGTAGGCCCCAAACCTTAAAATAACCCTAAACCCTTCAGCCCCCTAAGCCCTAAACCCCAAGCCTCTAAGCCCCTAAACCCCAAACCCTTAACCGCAAGCAAGCCCCAGGTGCGGCTAGATCTTGGCGCTTTTTGCTGGAGCATCACCTTCTTGCCCGTCATGGGCTTCCTGGGAGTCCACGGTGGACGCCCCGACCTTGCCTACTGGGTCTACAGGCCAAACCCCTACTGGGCCTGCCCCGCGGCTTTGGAGTCTAGGGCGTGCAATTCAGGGTCTAGGGCTTAGGGTTCGGGGTTTAGGGTTTAGGCAAAGGAGCTTCTACAGTTCAGGGTTTTGGGGGTTCTTTCTAAGAGTTCCTGTGAGGGTCCTACATGGGATCGGAGACTCGTCACCCCAAATCCTGAACCCAACGGGTCCAGGCGGTCTAGCGATGGTTCAGGGTTTAGGGTCTAGGGTTTAGGGTTTAGCGTTTGCAGGGTTTAGGGCTTGGGGTTTCTATACCCTGAACCCTGAATCCTTTGTAAAGAAGGCCTATGTAAGCCCTTCCGGGCTTCGTTTCAGCTGCTGCCAAAGTGCTTCCATGTGAGGTGAGAAGCTGGGTTCCTGCGACGCCGCCACAGGCCTGGGAACTCCAATGAGGGTTTCACAGAGGGTTCTTTTTCATAGTTTGTTATGGGGTTCTACAGGGCGTCTATCGGGCCTCACGGTTTCGCTTCCGATGTGCGCCTAGACCGTAGCAATGGAATATTACGCTCCGATCCCGAATTCTCGCACAAGCACGAAACTGCTCCTATAATGATGCTCATCATGCTGGACCACCTCTTCCCAGAATAGGAAAGGGAAACCGTCTAACAACTGTTGCACCAGCCTAAGTTCGGGGGCCTTGAATGGTGCACTGGACTTGACAAAGGGTCAGATTTGCCCGCTTTTGACTGTGTGGGGTGAAGGAGTGGCACAGAGTGAATGCGCAGAACCTCCTGATGCGCATGATGCTTGCTCTAGTTGCTGGCCCAATTTGCTCCATCCAAGAACCCCCGGATTTTGAGCTGTGTCGGAATCCGCCCATGTTGCGCTGTCTCGCGGCGTTCCCCAAGCCAACATCCCGAATGATGCTGATGATGCTCGCCCAACGCCGGCCTGAAGAGCCAGTTATAAAGTATTGCAGTATGATGTAGTGTAAAACGACAGTGTTGGAGTAATGTAGTCTTGGCGTAGTTTTACAGTATTATGGCATTAGAGCATCATAGTGTTGCAGTGTCGTACTATAGAAGACGGATCAAGACGGCATGACCGGCTGGACACCCGCTTCGCCGGGCATCGGATTGGACCCTATTGCCTAAGGGTCCTTATGATTAAAAGTTATGGGGCTGTCCAAAGCCTCATAGTTGAAGATGCTAGCCCTAATCCCTGAACTCCAGAACCCCAAACCCCTAGATCCCTAAACCCCTGAACCCCTGAACCCCTGAACCCCTGAACCTCTGAACCCCTAAACCCCTAAACCCCTGAACCCCTGAACCCCTGAACCCTAAACCCCTAAACCCCTGAACCCTAAACTCTGAACCCGAAACCCCCAAACTCCTAACCCTTAAACCCTAAGCCCTAAAGCCTTCCGCTAGCGCCAACAGCCCTACCTTTTCAGGAGTTCTCACGAAGCCGTAAGAAGGAACCCCAAAACAGCAAGTAAGTTCTTGGGTAACGGGTTTGTGTTGCGACTTGTTCTGGGTTGGCTTCGAAAGGTTTGCAAAGCTTCAGCTGGGTGTCGAGTTTAGCATTTAGGAATCAGGAAGGCTGTTCGCAGCACTTCTCCCTAAACCCTAAACCTGAACCTGAACCCTAAACCCTAGACTCTAGACCGTCCACGGGTCGAGCTTCTGGTGGCTTTCTGCAGAGCCTTGCTGGTTTGGGATACGTCATTCAGGCCCCAAGCCACGTAGTCTAAGCCCGAAGCCTAAATAGTAGGACAAAGGATGCAGTTATTGTGAAGGGGCTACTGGGGCACCAAGATAGGTAGAGCAGAGCCGACAGAATTTCTGAGAGGTGCCTTTATCAGCTCCAACACGACCGCCTCGGGTGAGCTTGAGCCTTTCGGGTTGTAGAGAACTTTGCACACGATCATCGCGGCGATATAGAGGGTTGGGGGATTTCTGGCTGTTGAGTTTAGGGTTTCGGAGAGTTTGGGCTACCATAATATGGGGATGTGTGGTAGATATGATGCTGTCCTGATGTTGATAACTTACACTATGCCCTAGACCCTAAACTCTGAACCCTCAACTCCAAACCCTAAACCGCTGTTGAGAACTCATGCTGTACCCTAAACCAAAACCCCACAACCCTAAACCCTAAACCCTGACCCCACACCCCGACCCTGCAAGAGCCCAGGTGCGTCTGTGGCCGTGGTGTCTTCTTGGGGTGGGACTCATGGTTCCTGGGCTTTTGTTAAGGAACTTAATTTGAGTTACCACAATCGAGATCTATGAGGGTTCCTTTAAGGGTTTGGGGTTTAAGGTTCAAAATACCAGGATAGGGATCTATAATAGAGAACCTGGCCATATGGTTTCCTTACTGTGGTACCTTAAATGAAATCCCTTAACAAGAGCCCAGGTTCATCTATGCCACGCTTGCGGCGGGCGTTGTGTACAGCTGGTTGACGGGGAAGGTGGTCCAAAACTTCAACACAGTCATCCGGTCTGTCTTCGACATGTTTCCGATCCTAGGTGGAGCTTTGGGGAACTTTCTCTTTGCATGTTATGCTTCCTGTGGAGGTACCTAGTCATAATTAATTCTCAGGGCCCCAAAACTACAGCCAAGGATCGTTCTTCTGTGGTTTGTCATCTCCCCTTTGGCATCCCGAGTGCCTCTAGAGGCCTTCCAGAGCTACTACTACCACGGGCCTATCCCCTTCGTCAACCCAGACAGGGCCAAGGATCTCATGACCATCGTCAATCCCCTTTGTGGCCTCACCTACATCGTGGCGGCTGGGCAAGTTCGCGAAGTCGCCGAGTTTCGCAAGGGCGTGAGGAAGGAAGAGGAGACTTGCTGAATGCTGTAGAGACTGTAGAGGCCCCAGTGCTTACCAACACTATTCCTGAGGGTTCCTTATTATGTGTCATAGCATGGCGATTTCCGGATCTGGATGATCGCCACCGGTATCTCTCTATGGTCACTAAATACCTGTTTGAATGCTCAAGGCTTTTGCGGTAAGCCTGGCGAGAAGCTAAATCCCGCGTTGGGGCCTTGGGGCTTAGGTTTTCGGTTTCGAATTCCTGCCCAACTCCCTCAACATCAACCCCAAGCCTAAACCCCAAACAAAGCCCAAGACCCTAACCCCAAAGCCCTAAACCCTAAACCCTCGAACCCAGCCTCTACTATACCCCAAATACCCACTATTAAGGGCCACAAGCTCGATTAAAGAGCCTTAGATCCAAACAGGCGATGCTCTACCCTCGAAGCCTCCAAACAGCCCCCCCCCCAGATCCGAAGCCCTTTAGCAAACCCGACACCCGGTTTAGGGTTTAGGGACCCTACTTGGAGGGACAGGGGACTTAGGAAGTAGGTTGTAAGCGGAGTTATCAGTACCCTAAATGAAGTTACCCCAACTATAAACCTACGTATAAACGGCTTACTAAGTCCCCTGCCCCTCCAGGTTTACAGCCCTAAACCCTAAACCCATTAAGCAAAGAAAGCCCTAACACCTAAGCTCCAAACTCCTTTACCCTAGATTCCGATCCCTGATCAGAGGAGTCGTATGAGTCGTCTGATGAAAGCACCAGTGACATCTCACAAAGCGAGGGGGTCTGCTGAAGGCATTTTACAGGCTGGCCCTAAAGCCGGGGCTGTTAGAAGGTTCAGCGGGTCCTAGAAAGCGGTTTAGGGTTTGGGGTCTGGGTCTAGGGTCTACCAGGGACCTATTGGAGGTTTAGGGTTTCACGTTTATGGGTCAGCGCAAAGGGCTTTAGGCTTCGTGTTTCCAGGGAGCTTTCTGTAGTGAGGACACCTGGAAACGCGAGTGCAACATCGGTTTTGGGTTTAGGGCTTGACGGCCTATTATAGAGTTCTTACAGTGTTCTCTTTTGCGCGGCTGCCCTCAAAGGGGGACCACACAGTCTTATCAATTCCTACACCGCGCGATCGTTTTCCATACCGTTAGACTTCTGCTTTCCAGGGCGCATCTACACGCTCCTCAGTGTGCTCAGTGCTCCTTCAGCGGTGAAGACTGCTGTAATATGTACCGAGGTATTACGGCTCATGGATAAATCCTGCATTGCGCACAATGAGGAACATGCTGTACTTCAACAAGAGCACTGCGTCAAGAGAGTTCGTCGTGGGGCGAAGCGACTCGCTCCTAAACAGGGGCTGAGATTAATGGCAAGCCACCCCCCGAAGTGGGGGAGCATGTGGAAAGAGTCGAGTCCGCTTACAGGTGTCTATGTTTGGCAGGCCTTGCTTGGTGTCCCGAAGATAACAGCCCAAGTAGTCTGAAGAACCTTAAACCCTAAACCCTGACCCCCCCCACTCCATTTGAGAGTTGACAAAGCGCATAAACCTTGAACCCAAAACTCCCCCCGAAATTCTGAGCTCCCCAGACCCTCAAGGGAACCCCGGAAAGTTGGAACATGGGTTTAGGATGATGAGTGCTAAGCTCCCCTATACTCTACCCCCAGGGCATGAGGATTTTCATGTTCCGACTTTATGCCTTCTACTTTAGGGTTTAGGGTTTAGGGTTTAGGGCTGTGCATAGCCCTAAACCTTATACCCTGGACAAAAGTTTAGGGTTTTCAGGATCCTTACTGGCATTCCACAGAACAGGACTGTGGGTTTCTGCGCCCTACATGTTGCCACTGCAACATTGCAGGTCTCAGGGCCCTCCTCCCAAAACTCACGCTACGAAACCCAAATTCCCACGTCTAGAACCCGACACCCGACTCTCGGCACTGCAAAACCGCGCTTGCAAGTCCAACTTCAAGAATGCCGAACACCCCAACAACGTGACAAAACCAGACTCCTGGTCCTAAACACTGAACTCAGAACCTGGAATCCTAATCCCTCATAGTCAGACCTCAGAAGGCTTGTCGGGGTTCCCTCAACGGGATCCATAAAGCCATAAGGGGATAGTTTAAGGATTCCGCATCGGGCCTTTAGGGCAACACCTAAGAAGCTGATCCGAGAATTGCGGGTCAAACCCCTAAACCCCTAAACCCCTAAAGCAAACCCGTGGACGAGGGACCTCTTCTGCGGGGATGTTTGCGTGTCTTGCAGGCCAACTGGCAGCAGCCTGCTGAGCAGCGCACCAGGCCCCGAAGGCCATGCAAAAGCAGAGTGCATTTAAGGACTACCGGGGATCCTTTAAGGGCTTTTTCAGGGTAGTACAGGTATTTTGGACTTTGGGTGTTGGCCTTCAACAATCCCCCGCAAGAGCCGAATGACTGGTCTGTTCCTGGAAGTTCTATTTTCGGGTTGGATTTCGGGTCCCGGGTTCTGGTCTTAGGGTTTGGGGTTTTGTTACACGAACGGCAAGGGGCTCCATTTCTGGAGGTGTCGAGACTCTGGCGTGCCCCGAATCTTGTGGGAAGGTCTCTGTTATCCGTGATTTCAAATGTTGGGGGGTCGCGATACCTCAGATAATATAGACGCCTAAACAATTACCTATACTATTTGTGGGCTCCTTTTTTATACTTATAGTATAACGGGCCCCAAAACCCTATTTTAAGCCTTAAAGCCCCTATATTATGATGAAGTCTCCGCGAGCCCACTCCAGATCGAGTTTCAGCTTGTCGCTTGCTGAAGTGCCAAATTCCGTCCTCAGGGGCAGCAGCTTTCTATGCATGTCGCCGGGTTTAGGGTCTTATAGCTCAGAGTTCAGGGTTTCAGAGTTCAGGGATGAATACAGCTAAAAGTAAGACCACGCAGTTAGTTGTGTTCTTGAGGCGTATATGTCTTGGGCCTGATTTAGAAGCCTGAAGAATTAGTAATCCTTTTTGTAGGGTTCCTTGATAAAGTTGTGTTTTGGGATACTTCGAACAGTTACATTCTCACATACTATCAAACCCCATTTCAGTTGCGCAGTCCCCTATACTAGGCCCGAACCATGTAAGCTGACGTGGTCGTCTTGCAGAGCCGATGGTGTAGACTGTAGATCCTCGACTAGTCAACACGGAAAGCATATGGGAGTTTCCGAAAATTAGGGGTACTCTATTTTGGGGTCCTGATAATAAGGAACCTACTGTATATTAGGGTCCCCTATTTTCGGAAGCTCCCATATTTGTAATTCAGGGAGGGCGCCTATATCGTATCAGACGTTGCCGCGGCAATTCCGTCCCGTTGCTTTCCTGCCTCCTTTTTCGTCGGTCTTGAGATGCCAAGCAAGTTTTTTGCGGCGCTGACAGGAAAGCAGCTGGAAGAGCAGATGAGGCTTTCGGGAGTGGAGGTCCTGGTGGTCGATCCGGAGATGGACCGAGGGTCCACCGCGAAAATCTACGGCAGGCTCCGTGAAACTATTCATGAATCTATCGGAGTAGACTGTGAGGGCCACCATGGGGAGCTGGGCAAGAAGGGCCCGTTGATGGTGCAAGTCGCATCGAATTCAGTCGTCGTGGTTGAGGTCCGCTCACAGTCCGGGCTCTACTCCCCAGACCTTCGGAAACTGCTGGCGGACGCCAGCATCCAAAAAGTCTTCTGCCAAGGGAACGCGGACATCCAGGCCTTAAAGAAGTGCTCCCCGGCCATGGAGGTTTCGGGCCCCGTTGCCGATCTGAAGGACATGACCGACCTTCATCCCACGCCGGGGCTTGCTGCGTTCCTGAGCCACGGTGATCCTGAAGAAGCGACTTGGAGCAAGCAGAGCTTCAAAAAGAAAGGCTGGTGGAGGCTTCAGTCCGGCGAGGACATGCTCGCCGAGCCGGGCTTTGTATCATATGCGGCCGCCGATGCCTGGGGGACTCTGCTTGCTTATGGAATGCTGGTAGCTGCGACACCGGCGACAGCTCCGACGATGAAGGCGAAACCCAAGAGACGGCGAGGCAATCGAAAACGCTCTCAGAACCACCGTCCCGACTCGAACATGCTTCCGACGCCGCAAGCAGCTACTGAGGCAGAGCTGCCTGTTCCCCAAGCTTCCTGGACATGTTTCAGCGGCTTCTGTCGGATGGCAGGTTCTTGCTGGGCTTTTGCGTGAAATCCGCCAGGGGGACAGAGCAGAAGAGTCGAAAAGGTCGTCCTCTCCGGGATGAAGGCTTGATAATATAGGTGCCTTCATAATTACCTATACTATTTTGGGGGTGTCCTTATTCGGAGTATAGTATCATACACCCCAAAACCCCATCCTAATCATGAAGGCAGCTTCAGTTTTGGGTTTGGGGGTTCAGGGTTTACAGGGTTTAGGGTTTAAGGGTTTTGAGTTGAGGCCTACAGATTTTGGGGTGTTTGGGCAGCCCCTGTTTCCCGAAGCCTTTGAACTCGAAATCTCTCAACGGTAGATCCAACTTAAATCGAGACATAGCACCCCAAAGCCCTAGACCTTCTACCCTGAGCCGCAATCTAAACCCCAAACCAGACACCCCAAGCCCAAACCCTAAACCCCTGGACCCCAAAGACCCCAAACCAGAAACTCCAAACCCGAAGCCCCACCCCCGAAACCCCAAACCAGAGACCCTAAACCGGAAATCCTAAACCCTAAACCAGACGCCCTAAACCCTAAACCCTGGACTCCAACTTGGAGGATCAGGGGACCTAGTAAGTTAGGTTATAAGTACCTTAATTGGGGTTAGAAGTAGTCATAAGTATGGTTGCCTTACTTATAACCCTAGTTACTAAGTCCCATGATCCTTCAAGAAACCGCCTCAGGCGATTCTGCTCTCCGAGCTTGTCCTTGCTCAGAAGGAGAAGCTCGAAGGGAGGCGAGCTCTAATACAGGGATTAGAGTAGGGTCTAAGGGTAGGGTTTACCTGGACCCTAAAGAACCTGCCGTTTTAGGGTTCCTTATGATGATTTCCTTATATAAGTCCTTAAAAGGGTAGGTTCTTGAGGGTTTAGGGGTAGGGTTTAGAGGTGAAAGTAGGGTTTGAGGGGGTACTTTTTACTACACCACTAAGGAACAGACATAAGGCTCATACTGTTTACTGTGGCTTTGGGGTTTCAAGCTTTAGGATTTGAGAGTTTGGGGAGTTTGGGGTGTGAGGTGAGCTATTTGTAACTTCTTTTGCCTCGGTGGGGACTTCCTTGAGATGCTCACTGCTCTGTCCCCGAACCCTATAAACCCTAAACCCTAGAAACGTGAACCCTAGAAGCTCTAAACCCTAAACCCTGAACCATGAACCCTGAACCCTAAACTCTGAACCCTAAAACCCTACCCCGCTTCGGCCATCTCTTTGTCCGAAAGCCTTCACCTCAATCATGAAGCTTTGAATCCCGACCTCCCAACAAGATCGAAGAGCACCCGGAACCCGATATGTGGAGGCCTGGACAACAAGTACTACTGACTACTATTGCTGATTCCTTCTTATAAGTCTACTTTCCAAGGGGAAAAGGAGGGACCCTTAAGAAGGACCCCTAGGTATATACCCTTAATATAGCTATTATATACCCATTATATAGCCCATTATAGGGTAGGGGTCCCCATTAAGGGTCCCTACTCTTCCCCTAAACCCTAAACCCTAAACCCTAAACGTCCCTACTCTTCCCCTTTGATACTTCCTGTTATTCTGCACGGAGGCCGGGCTCCCAGTGGTCTGAAGCCCAAGAATCCCCTGCTTGGTGCCCGGAGCCCTAAACACTATAGATCCCTTGAAGGAACCTTTACTTAGGCGCAAGTAGAAATAAGTTTGAATTTTTGGTTGTTTTAATCCCTAAGAAACAGCTAAAATCATAATTTTTGCCAGGGTTCTAAGTTCAGTATAGTTAGAATACACTATAACGGAACCCGAAACCCCTAAACCCTGGTGCAGGCATCACGCCGAGACCTCGCGTTCCAAGAAAGTGGGTTCCGAGCTTTGCCCTGGCATCGCGAGTCCCGAGTCCATGGTTTCGCTGAGTTGATCTGCGGGTTTAGGGGTTTAGGGTTTAGGGGTTTAGGGTTTAGGGTCTAGGGGTTTAGGGTTTAGGGGTTTAGGGTTTAGGGTTTAGGGGTTTAGGGTTTAGGGTTTAGGGTTTAGGGGTTTAGGGGTTTGGGGGTTTAGGGTTTCGCTGAGTTGATCCGCGGAAGAGCGCTATGAAGGCTCCTGAGAAGCGGAGACATAGCGATCAAGGATTCGTCCAGTGTTTCGTTCTGAGAAGTTTGATGGCTGGTTCGTTCCTAAACTCGTGGCCATGCTTGGAAGAAGCATTTGACTAGGTCAGGTCTGATAGACTTATATATATATATATATATATATATATATATGTATCTAGTTATTCTTATTCTTACTCTTGTTCTGACTGTTACGACTATTATTCGGATTTCGTCATACTAGTAGTATGACTATAGCATGCGGGACAGCCGCGTAAAGAAGAGGTGCTACGTGCATCCCGCTTAGTGTGCTCCGCTGCCATGTCGCGGCTGGTGTTGGTGACAGGTGCTGCTCGTGGCTTGGGTGTCTGAGTTCTTAATCAGGAGCAGACGTTTTTTTCTTTAAGGTACCCCAAGAAGGAAATGTGACAATGAACTACATGACTATATGCGTTATATAGGCTTTGTGGTAACCTAGATGCATTCAACCTGAGCTCAGGTGTAGGGATCTGTCGCCAAGTCCTACAGCATGGCGGGGACGTCCTCGTTGCAGCGCGAAGCTGGGTTCTTGTTAAGGAATTTCATTTTAAGTTACCATTATCGAGATCTATAGTAATTTTTGTGGTTTCCTTATCATCCCTAAACCCTAAACCCCAAGTCCTAACTTAAGTTCAATCCCTTAAAACAGAACCCAGGAAGCCTTAGCAAGGCGCAGGAGCTGGCGGAGCTCTTGGGACCAAGGGCGCAGGCCTTGGAGTGCAACGTCAGTGACGAGCAGTCGTGCTGCTTGGGCTTTGTCATCTTAAGCACTGAGCCCCCAAATTTGAAGCTGCAACCGTAAAAGCCTAAAGGCTTAAAGCCAAGATCCAAAAGGCCCTAAGGTAAGCCTCTGAGCCCCTAAAGCTGTAGACTCTGTAGACGTAGACCCTAAACCCGTGCTCGCCCCAAAGTCCGAGAGCCGGAAACTTCAAACCGAGAAGCACCACAAGGTCAGGCCGCGGCTCAGTTCGTGGCGAAGATCCGAGGGGGACGCCCCCTCTCTGTGGTGCACAATGCTGGTGTCGCCTTCGATTTGCCGTGGCCCCTACGCCTGGCAAGATCGCTTAGAAAGCCTGGGGCCCTCAAAAATCCCTAAACCTACTTGGAGGATCAGGGGGACCTAGTAAGCTAGGTTGTAAGTACCTTAATTGGGGTTATAAGTAATTACAGGTACAGTTACCTTAAGTATGACCCTAGTTACTAAGTCCCATGATCCTGGAGACTCTAATCCCTAAACCCTACAGATCGCTTTCAGGAACCCCTATAGATCCCTTGAAAGGAGCCCTTTTAGGGAACCCTAGATACTAAGTCCCATGATCCTTCAAGTTGGGCCCTCAAAAATTCCTAAACCTAGGGACTCAGGGTCTTTCAGCCTGGTAACTTCTAGGGGTCGGACAAGCCACCAATAATGTGCCCTTTACAGTTAATTTCCCGCTAGACATGTACCTTAAGTTCAGGGTTTAGGGTTTAGGGATAACATACACCAATACCCTGTTCTAACTAGTCCGGCTCCTTTCTTGAGGTTCAGGGTTCAAGGATTTGGCTCAGGGCGATGCTTTCAGAGCATTGCCATGATGTTCAAAAAGCAACACGAAAGCATACTGGCAACAATTGCCACGATAATCGAAATGCCAATAGTGATGCCAATAGTGATCATGATCATGACCATGATGATAGTAATACTGAACATCATGACAATCATGGCAGCAGTGATTATGATAATGACAACAATAACATGGTGCTGAACACCAAATCGCCCCGCAGATGAAGGCTTACTGAGCGGAAGTGTCCACACAATCCCCCCTTCCCCCCAAACCATCAAAGCCTGTTCCCCAAACCCCAAGCCCCTCAAACCCCAAAACTCTTAAAGTGCACCCGAAACGCCAATCACCCTGCTCGTCGCCCAGGTTCCCCGCACCATGGCCTGCCGAGGCCGCGCGACAGAGCTTCGGTCGGAACTTCAAGACTTTTTAAAGGGTCTAGGGTTTAGGGGTCCCCAAACTCTGGACCCTAAACCCTAGGGGAACTTGATTTTGGGGTCCTTACAAGGATCCTACTATTTAGGTTACCAAGTTAGGGCCCCCCATTTTCGGAAGCTCCCATGCACGAGTGATTGTGAGACTTTGCGCCGTAAAGACTCCTAAGTCCGAAGTCCTACCTAGTAGTCGAGTAGGTAACCTTAAACCTTTTTGCGGTAGAACAGTCTCTATATAATCCTTATGTAACCAAAAAGGTTAACCTTTGGTTCCCCATGATACCCGACAAGTAGGCTTATTTCATGAACTGAGCCCTCAAACCCAAAACCCAAAACCCTGCACGGAACCCAAAGCCTGTGACCAAGGACCTTAGAGGTGAACCTCTTCGGCGCCATGCGGCTGACTGAAGCGCTGTTGCCGGAGCTGTTGGATGAAGCTCGGAACGGTTTAGGGTTTCGGCTTCAGAGTTTAGGGCTGAGAGTTTAGGGTTTAGGGTATATAAGTATGCCAGAATATCCCTCAAAGCTCATTTCTAATTCACGCTTCTGGTGTATCAGGTTTGGGATGTTATAGTTCCGTCTTTGAGGGTGTTGGAGCCCGGGGGCTTGCAGTCTCGGAGTTCAAAAATGTACCCGCGAACCTCCCTCAACCCTGTCCTTACCGTTGGTTAGTAGGGAATGGAGGAATGGGGTACAATTGGAAATTCGAGCTACTATTACTACCATTCTTCCATTCCCTGCTAACCAGCGGTAAGTGTCCACCTGAGGTGGTCTCCATGTTAGATCTCAGTCCTGAAACCCAACAACTGAGGCCACTCATGACGCTGAAACTGAAACCGTACTATATGGGCCTAAACAATTTCCAATACTATCTTGGAGGTTCCTAATTATATGTATAGAATCATGGGCCTCAAAACCCTATTCTAGGTATTAAGGCTCCTATATTCAACCTGAAACCACGAATCACCCAAAACCCAAGGCTCTCGAGCCTGAGCAACAAGCCTTCCAGGCTCCAAGCCGCCCCTGCCCCCAACCCTATGCCCTGCGAAATGTTCTTCCGAAAAACTCCCTCGATGGGTGCTCGTAAACTTTAGTGTTCTTAGGAATTTCTGGAGTTGTTATCTTGGTCAAACTCATCCGGGTTATCAAACCTCCCATTTTCTTTATGGTTCTAAAAGTGCTTGTAAACAGGACAAGCGCGGGGCAAACGCACCCCCCACAGTGCTCAGCCAGTTTACTATGCCCACGTAAGAAGCCTTAACCCCTGCGCCCTTAACCACTTATAATTTCTTATAACCCCAATTAAGGTACTTGTAACCTAACATGCGTTGTGAAGCCGTCTATTGCGAACTCACATAAACCCCTAAACCCTGAACCCTAGGCCCAACCCCTAAACCCCAAGCCTCAACCCCAAACCCTTAGCCCCGAACACTAAACTCAAGATCGACACCCCCCCCCCCCCCCGAAGTATACACAAGTGAGGCAAAGGCGCCGGGAAGGATGGTCTTTGTGAGCAGCGGTGCGGGCGCTGCAAACCTGTCAAAGATGTCAGAGGCGAGACGGTTTAGGGTTCAGGAGCCACTCTGCTTTAGCATTGTTTCCTGTTAACAATCGTTATTCTGTTTTGGCATCTTTGTTTTTGTTTCTAAACTGTTGTCCTGTCGTATTGGGGCTTTATAGATGTTGAGTACGGTTACATCGGATTTTGCACAGGTTTTTGAGGGCTTGGGGGACTATGACGGGGCGTTGGCGTATGTGCAAAAGTTTCGGTTCAGGAGTATGCAGGTTCGGTCGAGAGCGCGAGGATTCCAGGCTCCACGGATGCAGTAGCCTGTGAGATTCTGGGTACTTGGAGGATCAGGGGACTTCGTAAGTTAGGTTACAAGTACCTCAATTGGGGTTATATGAAATTATAAGTATAGTTACCTTGCTTATAGCCCTAGTTACTAAGTCCCACGATCCTTCAAGTAGCCTGTGAGATTCTGGGTATCATTGCTGGTAACTAAGCCCTGAACAAACATGTAACGAATCAGCGGGAGGAGCGGCGCCAAGAACTTCTGGAGTTTTCCGAGCTGTCCGCGATGACGTCTTTCTGTCAGAAGTTCGTGGCAGCTTACGAGGCCTCAGCCCAAGAACAGGCAGAAAAGCCACTGCCGCATCTGCACAGCGGCTTTTGGCTGCAGTCTTACGGCTTCTCGAAGGCGTGCTTGAACCGCTATTGCCAAATCATGGCTTCAAAGCATCCCAGCCTAAGCTGCGTGGCCTGCTCCCCTGGCTTTGTGGATACGGAAATGGTGAAATCCTACCGTGGCGATTCGAAGTTAAAGAGCGTGGAGGAGGGAGGCGACGTCTGTGCCTGGCTTGCCTGCTGCCCTTCCATCGACAACGGCTACTACAATCCAGACCGGAGCATGTTGGAGGGGAGTTGATCCGAAAAAGCACCGGCGGTCGAGGGGTGAAGGTAGGTTTCAAGTTGTTAACCCGAAAACCCCTGAAACTCTGAAGCCTTAAACTCTAAAGCTTAAATCGGAGGATCGAAACCCGTAGAGCCTAAACGGTAGAGTTACGGGGGGACTGTTCAAAGCTTCAGTTCGGGATTGGAGATGCCTTAGACCAGACCTCGAAGCTCAAGGGCCACCTGCCTGGAAGATTTTGCAAAGAGCCGGAGGGTTGGGTTTGGCGCTTAGCTGATTCCGATAAAACCCATAAAGACCTGCCTTTTCAGTGTGTCTGGTCGTGGTCTCCTGATATGTGTCCTTGAGAAGATAGGTTGTTTGGGGTTAAGGTGGGTTTACGCTCAGGAATTTTGTGGATTCAAGAGCCTTCTGTTGGCGTCCGAAATCCCAACCCCGCCGCTCCCCCTCCAAGCATGCACCTATTTCTGAAGCAGATCGACTGTTGTGAAAGACCGGCAGATCTCAAGCCCCCAGACTCGAGACCCAAAGCCCTCAAAACGAAGGCCCAAACCCTCCGACCACCCAACATACCCCAAATACACACAATTAAGGGCCATTGGGGCTCTATTACCCTAAACCCGAAACCCAAACCCCTATGCTTCCAAACCCCAAAGCCCAGCCCAGATCCCAAACCGTAAACCCTAAAACCCCAAATCCAAAACCCTACGCGTGCTAAACCCTGAGCTCTGAAACCCCAAATCCTAGTTCATATAAACCCCGAGCCCTGAAACCCCAAATCCTAAGTCCTAAGCCTCTAGGGCCCTGGGGCCTTAAACCGGCTTGGGGCGCCCCTATGGAATTCCTTCACAAGCGCGTGGCGCCTGGGCGTCGCGCGCTGAATTGGGGCTTCTTGAGCCTCGGTAGCATTCGGAGTTTAGGGTTTTGGGGTTCAGCATTTAGGGTTTAGGAGTGGAGTTTAGGTAGGTTTGGGTTTTAGGATTCAGGGTTTAGGTTTGGGGTTTAGGATTTAGGGTTTAGGTTTGGGGTTGAGGGTTTAAGGTTTAGGTTTGGGGTTTAGTTAGTGTTTGAGGTTTAGGGTTTCACCAGAGGCCACTGTTTTGCAGGGTCCCTAGAAGTTCCATCAGGGTTTATAGTGAGAAACATCGGTTTAGTGCAGGGTGTAGGGATCTAGGGTCTAGGTTAGAAGCTGCCCCCACCCTGTAATAGTGGTATAATAGGAATATAATAGGGCTCTAATACAATCCTTATAGCCACTATTACAAGGTGGGGGCAGCTTCTGAGATCTAGGGTATAGGGTCTTGTTGATGGCTCGAAGGGCCATCTGGAAATACACCACTCCATGATAGCAAGGGCGCGCGAATTCAAAGCTTCACTTGTACGCCACGCACAGATGATCTCTTGGCGTTCTTCTGGTTGGCTCTTAGGACTTTAACTTTTTGGGTTTCTATATTAACTATAATAAGGAAGCTAAAAGTTTACTTTTCGGAGGGGTTCGGAAGTCAGCCAAGATCTGTCATCTTCGAGTGCCTGCTCCTAAATTGTACAAGTTGGGCTCTTGCCTCAATGACCTATGCAAAAGGATCATGTTGACATATCCTTATTACTAGGGGCCCCAAAATAAAGTATCTCCTAATTTTCGGAAACTCCCAAGTGAGCGTGGCAGCCAGCATCTCAGCCCGTTCGGCCTGGGAAGATCTCAGGGGTTTCACAGGTTTAGGGTTTAGGGTTGAGGGTGTGGGGTTTTGAGGGTTCCGTATCATATCTGTACTATAACGGGGCCGCAAGCGCCATTCTAATTATTAAGGCCCCTCCATCAGGGTTTAGTAATGCTTCGGGTTTCGGGTCTGGCTTTGGGTTGTAGGCTTTTAGCTGTTGCAGCTTTGGGGTTTTGCAGGCTTTCTGGTTTCGTGCTTGCAGGGTTTAGGGTGTAACAGATCTCAGTTTCGGGGTTTAGTGTTTCGGTTTGGGTTTTTGAACTTCAGAGTGTAGGGTTTGGAGGTTCCCCGACACCCTGCCTCTTGATTGGCCTTATCTGCTTGGGTTTTGAGGTATAGCCTCGGGAAGCTGAACATCACCGTCAAGACTTCGTTGAGCTTCTGAAGCCCTGCAGCCCCCAGCAAGCCTGCGAAAAGCCATCGTGAGGCTCCAAAGCAGCAGCAGACCCTACGTAAAAGGGAGTTTCCGAAAATAGAGGACCCCAATATAGAACCCTAAATATTAGGATCCTTATTATAAGGACCCCAACAAAAGGTACCCCCTAATTTTCGGAACAACCCATAGAATCTCCTGACTGAGACTCTTCTCGTAAGATTCGCTCCAAGAGCTCAGGTGCTTGGCCTCGTGGTCATGCCGTTCATGCTGCGGCCTTGCTGGCAGGCACCGAGAAGCTCCGGGGTCATGCCGGTTACTGATCTTCGAAGTAGACGATTCAAGATCCTAAGCCATGAGTTCCCACAAAGTCGACTTCCTCTTCTTTTTACCTCCTCTCCTAGCCTCCGCGACCCTCCATTGAAACATCATACGCCGTGAAACCCTGGAGCTCTGCCTTCCCTCTCAAGCCCTAGAAGCCTGAAGCCGTAAAGCCTGAATGCCTCGGAAGCCCCACCCTAGACCCTATAAACCCAAAACCATCGAACCCTAACTTAGAAGCCCGAAACCGTAACCCCCAAGTCAGAAGCCCCGAAACGGGCCATAAACCTGGAGGTGTGCAGCGCCCCGTGCGCCCCGCGCTTCTGCGTTGGCAGCCGTTCCTTTCGCAGGTGTGAGGGCTTCAAACGCCCACTAGACTAAGCATCAGGAGTCATGCTTGTGTGTGACTTCAGCGCACTCTAGCCTTTGATTGCTTGTGGGGCATAGTGGTGGTGTTGGCGGTGGGAGTGCCGGTATTAGCAGTAACAAGGGGCCCGTTATTGTTACATGCTTTTGCCTTAGGGCCCCTTTTCAATGATACGATACAGCACCCCAACATCCTGTTCAGTTTGCCTCATCCCATGTATTGGTCTTCCTCCTGTTGTTCTGCCTGGATTGAATGGTAATGTAGGAACCTGAAATATGAAGAAACCCTTGTAAACACCGTTAAACACCCAAGGTTTCTTGATCAGGTTCTATACATTTTTTGCTGGGCCCAGGGCCCCGTTTGTGCTCCTTTGGGCCCCCCGACCAAGGTACCGATTTAGGACAACCGTTGATGCCTTGTGTTGGATCAAGATCACTCCCCGAAACCCGAAAGCCTCCACCGCATGGCTCTCGGAGAGGTCTTTAACCTTTTAAAAAGTGACTAGTATACAAGCCGGAATTATTGAACACATTTTTCTTGGGGCTCCTTATTGCTGTCATACTACAATATACCCCCCCCCCCCCAACAAACCCCATTCTACTTATTAAGGCCCCCATATCACCCCGGCGAAGGCTCTGTGGAGCCGGAGCGCATCTTCCTGGTGCCGTTCGGATCGATCGCTTCAGCCGAAGATGTGCTTCCGGGTCATTCCCATTTCCATCGGCCACTGGGGAGGCGCTTTAGGTTGCTCCCAGAGACTCCAATATCCCTTAATTAAGGAATAGATTCCTTAAGCCATAATGGGATCCCTAATATGGTTTAAGGAATCTATTCTCCTAATTAAGGGATATTGGAGTCTCTACGCTTGGGGTTTGGGGATTCAGAGTTTTGCAGTTTTGAGGACTCTGGGTTTTTAGGGGTTTCGGGTTTTTGCAGGCTGCTAGGAGTTCAGGGTTTTTGGGAGTTCAGGCCTTGGCGTGTACGGCGATGAAGGTTTAGGACTCTTCTGGGGATGAGGGAGCTAGACAGAGAAGGAGCCCTTCTAATGTTTATAGCAGTTCATCGCCCTACCTGGACCCTGGTACCTGGACCCTGAAATGACCTACCTTTCCAACGACTTGGCATGGATGTCGATGCTTCAATGTCACCAGGTATGGTATTTGGGGTTAAGGTAAACCCTGAATCCTAAACCAGGCCCCAACATAGGCTCTACCTGGTAAGGTATTCTTGCTGTACAGCAGTCGGAAACGGGCCCGCAAAAAACAACACAAAAACTTGAGGTTCGACGTCTTCAGCCGATGCTCCATTGCAGCTCTGATGTGCCGGGGCTCATCCTCCAACAGACTTCCTTTTCGTTTCGGTGATCTCCTGTCGGAGTTTCCGAAATAGGGGTTTAGGGTTTAGGGGACCCTACTATAGTACCCCAAAAAAGTAGGAGGCGTACCATAAGGACCCAAAAGGAGGTCACCCAAATTTTCGGAAACTCCCAGGTGTCTCCCAGAAACTCAAGGTTTGAGGGTTTAGGGCTGCAGGATGCTAAAGTTTCAGGGTTCAGGGCTTTAGAGTTTAGGCTTTAGGGCTTGAGGATTAAACAAAAAACCTTCAAAAGCACCGTACAAGTTTTAGGGTTTTGTGGCTTTGGGTTTTGTTTAGGGCTTGAGGGCACAGGGATCCAGGGTTTATAGGCCGAGGTCTTAGGCGGGCCTGAAGATATACGGTGTTGGGGGCCGACTCTATGGGAGTTTCTGAAAAATAGGGGGTACCGTATTTTGGGGGTTCCTTATAATAGGGATCCTACTATTTGGGGTACTATATTGGGGTCCCCCTATGTTCGGAAACTCCCATATAGTATCGAGGATAAGAAACCCTCAACAATATTGTAATGGCGTTGATCGTTTCGGCCCCTGTCCTTTACGTCTGTGTAGTATAGGGTTCAGGGTTTAGGGTTTAGGGATAGGCACCCTTTCAAGGCACCCTAGTCTCGTTATGAAGGCCCCCTTTTTTGTAGGATATCGATTAGAAGGGGCCCCCACCCTGTAATAGTGGTATAATAGGAATATAATCGGGCCCTAATATTCCCTAATATAATCCTTATGGTCACCATTACAGGGTGGGGGCAGCTCCTAAGATATCGAAGTTGAGGTGTTCGCGGAAGCTTCGGCAAGACACGACCTTCCTGGCGGCGCTGGTGAAGCCTTCCTGGACCAGTCGGGTCGGACAGGCGGGCTTAGGGCTT